GCGAAACCCGATATTGTGAGTACTAACTCAGGGCAGCGAGGGTATTACGTTCCATAGCAGGTGTTTGGTGCTAAGCCGTTCAGTAAGTTCAGAAAGCAAATGGACGGACGGACAAGTGCCAGTGCATTGTCTGCCATAGCAAATCAAATAAAACGATCAATTAATTAAATTAAATCGTTAAATTTTATTCATTTCAATTTAATTAAATTAACAAGTTTATTTCTTGAATTCTTTTTAATTGTATTAAGTAAACGAATTAAATTCTAAAGCTAATTAAAACTAATAAACGTCATGTTCTTGTTTTTAAAAGTATGGTATTGTATGTTATTAGTTTATCTGTTAATTATTTAATTTACTGAAAATATCAAAACAAATTAATATTTAAACATGCACTACTCGACTTAAGGTCAATTATTTGCCATAATATTTAATTTGATACGGCAATTCCTATATAATACAAGAGAAAAAAGTTTATTTTTCGTTTAGTTCCAGTTTAGTAAAATGATTTATATTACATAGTCAACCAATTTTACCCATTTGTAAACTTCATCTACCTTAATTCCTTAAAAGTTTTTCCGCAAAGTCTCAATCAATTAGTTCAGAAATTGAGAAACTAAATTAGTCCGCATATTAGACACAGACTCATAACACAACAAGTAGTAATATAGACTTTAATAACATATAATACAGACTAATATATAATATAGATAATAATATACAATATAGTATATATAATATAGACTTTAAATAATTTAAATCGATTTATGTACTTCAAGAATATTTATGGTGTACATGGTTAAGTTAAGTTTAGAAGGCGAGTGCTGACAGTTGTCAGCACTTCCACTCGAAGGCATATATTACCCATTGTGATGCCCTCAAAATTTTGCCGGCAGAGACGAGTTGCTAACCTTTGCTATTCTTATTAAACTATTTGGTTTTTCAAATGAAGTTCAAGAGATCCGAAAAGTTTGCTTTCGTTATCTCTTCCAAGCCATTGTAAAAGCAATCTCCAAAACAGTAAAGTCGCCTTGTCTGCAGACAGAGACACAGGAAGTGGTTGATAGATTCTACCTCCTCTTCATTTTGACAATTCCTGCATAATCCACTTGTTGGAACTCGCCACCGTTGGAACATAAGCGTAGTGGCACAATGTCCCGTTAGTACTTCAGTAAGTACACGAACTGCAGGTTTGCTGAAGCCTAAAAGACTTTTCGTTTTATATTTGTCCAAACCAGGCTATAAGGTTCTAGCGACCTCAGAGTCTTCACGGTTAGCGTATAAATTGTTAGTCACCGCATTGGTGATTTCCTATATGGTGTATATAGTATTTCCCACTTTTTTTATTTTGTTACAATCGGTTTGACTTAGTTTTCATTCAATATAAGTAATGGATGCTACATTTGATGAATTCTATAATAACAATTATATTTAATAAAAGGTTTGGTTAAATTTTTAAATAAATTATAAATTTAAAAAAATTAAACAAATTGTTCTTACTCATAGGACAATTACCATTAGAGAGGTTTCTAAAGAGATATAAACGTTATACAGCTTATACGAAAGCTTTTTTAGAAATATATTGGACATTAAACGGGAAGTTGCAAAATTTGTTTCTTATTCTTAAGCTTATTTATCTTTTTTTAACAGTTAATGTCATAGTAAAATATTGTTTCAAAGTCACAATCACTCTATTCTTGACACAAAACACTCTGCAATTTTTTCCTATTTATCTAATACAAAAATATGACCAACATTCTCTTTGATCAAAAATTCTTGTTATTCTCACATCGACACAGACACAGATGTATCGACACAGATATATTATTAAATTAAACTTAAGACAATATATCACTAATAAACTTACAATAATGGGTATAGAATATTGTAACAGGAAGTTATAACATAACTTGGAGTCATGATCTATGTAAGACGATGTCATCTTCTCCAGTATAAATAATATCCAGAGCGAAAGAAAACATATTCTGTTGATGGCTGTGGATTCGGCTTTCCAGCGTATCTCCACCATTTTCAGCTGACAAATTGTCCCTATTGCTTAAATTGTTAGAAACTTGTTGAAAGTGCAGATATTAGTATAAGATCCGCCTTCTAGCAGCTTCACACATGCACTGAGCTAAAGTTGTCTCTAATGAAATGTTATACGGACGTTCACAATTCGCTATTGCAATCTCATAACCAGGAAGAACATTTCCAATAAAACCAGTTGCAGTAACATCAGAGTTAAAAAAAATGCGTTTAAATTTTGAAAAAATACCAAATCGGTAATCTCGTGATGGTTAACCATGGGACATCGATTATACTGATGTAAATCTCACTCTGATTTATATTTTCAATTGCTATTGTGTTAAGCGTGTCTTGTTTCTATATATTCTTCGTATATGAATAGGTCTGATTTAGTTATAAAAAAATCACTATTTCGAGACCACTCAGCAAAACTTATTAAACCGTCAAAAAAAATATGCTGACAAATAAATTTTTATTAATACTCTAGCATTACCTGCTAGATAAACAGCCCTTAAATAAAAATTTAATATTATCGACAAAATGTCACAAATAGAATGCTGTCTGCATTTTTAAGATCAACGAATAGAAAAAAATCTAACTGAAATATTTCAAATAGAAGGAATATGTGGAGAGTACCTCATGCAAGTTTTGAATAATATTACATATCAATTTATTTAATGACTTGTTTTTAAAAAATCCTTTTATAAACGCCGTGCTCCTAGTTTTAACACCTCCAATTATTGTGCAAAGTCATCCTGGCATTTTATTCTCAATCGTACTTTAGGAATTTATTAAAAATATCTTTAAATTTGCTGTTCAAAATTAAATACTTTTATAGACGTGCTATTTAAAAAATCTATTAATGCTATAACGTAGCACTTAGTATATTTTACAAACACTAAATCGTGTATATTAATAAAATCAAGCAATAATGTTAAAAATTTTTCAAAAATTTAGTAATGTTTCTTATTTTTACGTGATCACGGCAACCCTTACCCCTAGGTAACTTCCTTATCCCTAGGTAAGTATGCTTCTTTATTGATAGATAGAACTTTACTAAGCACATACTGAACGATTAAACAATTTAAGGATATTTAGGATTTTAAGCAGTGTCCTTAGTATAAGATGGTTATAACAGTTACAAATAAAAGTAAGATCCACACTATTTCAATTGTCACTATGCGACACAAATGTATGGATGCTATATACCATAATAATGAGATTAAGGATAATCGCGCAGTTATAAACACTATAACTTTTATTTGAAGTATTGAACTTATTTCGTGTTAATATATATGAAAATGAACCATCTTTCATATATTTTTTTTATTTTTGAAGATTTCAATAGCATTTTTAACATGAATGTAGACGCTATTGTGTATATATAAAAAAAAAAACAAAAATATATATTTGAACTTTTCATCAATTAAAACAAAATTATTTCCAAATAAATTAAGTAATGTAATAATAGCTCACTTGTACTTAACGATAAACATTACAAACCATATCTTCATCACATATTGTTAGAACATCTTAGTCTCATAAAGAATCCAGGACTGCAAACCACATAAATTTCGGATGTGATTCAGTGATTCAATAGTCTAAATCATAGGTTAGATTCGAATACTGGTTTACGATTTTTGCAGTGGGCTTAGAATTTGCCATTAGAAATTGAATCGTTTTAATATAAAAACAGTTCATAATCTTGAAAAGGTTTATACTGTATTTTAAGAAAGAAACTCGCTGCTTACTCCTAATTATACAATACTTAAATATCTAAATATTTTGATGATTACATTAGCATTACAACGAAATTCAGTCCGATAGCGTTTTCTAATGAGGCAACGAAGTATATAAGAACAGTTTGTGAGATTAAAACTTCTTAGATTTCGAACTATTATATATTAGTTATTATATTTTTGAAATTAAATATTGTCTTATAAGATTTCCATTAGTTGTTAAAAAAACTTCCCTAGAAACACTCTCTGTATACCACTCTATTCAAAACAAAAAAAAGGTGTGGAGAATTTCAGAATATATATTAGATAAACTAAACATATTTAGTTTATTGGTATTGCTAGTATTGGTATTTCTTTCTAAAAAAAATGGTGGGATCTAAAAATCATCAAAGTGATTGACAAACACATGAACAGAATGGAAGTGGTATCTGGTGATGATAAAGGATTAATTAATAGTAGTACAATATAAATATATACAATATAGTACAAATTGGGTTCTATTAAGCTATACTCATATACGGGCACATATAAAGAACTAGATCTTTACAATATTATAAAACAATATTATATAGGTAAAAAGAGATTATAATTTCATAGCATGTAAGAAGCGATCCATATTGACTTAGACATTGCAATACCTGAGAATATAGACATCTACACGATATTTTTTAGATCAATATTTTTTCATAAAACTATGAAAAGCTATTCAGCTATAAAATCTAGTAATTAAATTCCCTATCATATAAAAAACTGAAAGGTATATGGTCACCTTAAAGAAGACATAACATACTTTTGTAAGTTATTTGAGTATGTGTTCCGCATTTCAGCAGCCTTGACCGAATTATGGCAATGTGCAAAATTTGTAAATAAACCTGAGAAATGAAAACGTAAACAACGCCACTTTCGCGTCTTAGCAACTTAAGTCCCGCCAAAAATATGGAACCTAGAAACGAAAATGTTTAATCGATTTAGTTATTTAAAAACTGTTAAGATAAGACATAAACCAAAGAAGTAAATTTATAAAAAATTATTAACTAAAAACAAAATAAATAATTTCAAGGAACCATAATGTTGCAGCAAAGATAGAAGATGGGCTCGTAAAGACAAAGAATCCTTTATATTATAAATAACAATTTTACGCAATTAAAAAAAGTTGCAACCTTCATAGCAGCCACTTTCGGATTTTCCCATCCAAAATTAATTTTTATTTGATTAAAGTTACTATAAAATTTAATCAGAATGGGGAATACTGAAAGCAATGTGACCAGTGGTGTCAAAAATCAAGCTGGCGTCTCAACTCAGGCGCTCTACAAATTCGTTAATCTCAAGGGAGGTGGTCTATTGGTGGATATGATGAAACGTGCTTGCCAAACTAAACAATTCGCTGAAATCGATCATGCCATTAAAACGAAAGTGGAACCATTCCTGTACAACAAAGGTGCTGGACGCTATTTTCCGATATCAAAATTGGTGCTATTACGTAACAAGGAACGTGGACGCACAAAATATTTACCAGAAATACGCGCCTTGGAAAATCCCGAAGAAGATTTTAACATACACGATTACTGTCCAGAAGTGTCGGAGGCGGAGTATATAGCGAATCCCAATGCGTATCGCTATGTTTGCTGGAATTTAAATGTTAGTGTTGACAAATGAAAACTCAAAATTATTAACTCGTAATAAATCTCATAGGAACGGGGAGCTGTGGGCGAAACTATACTACATCTATGCCTGTTAAATGCCAGTTCATTGCATGCGGATTTAGCTAAACGTTTACTTAAATTTTATCCAAAGCTAATATTTGATATCTATCTGTGTGATGAGTACTACGGCGAAAGCGTGTTGCATATTGCCATTGTTAACGAAGATCCAGCAATGGTCAAATATTTACTGGATGCAAATGCCGACGTGCAGGAACGGTAGAAGTTAAGATTTCAGTTTGTGTACCTTTTTCATTATTTCTCATTAATTAGCTGCTGTGGTGCTTTCATGTCTGCGGAAGATCAAAAACCCTCACGGTACGACTCGCCGGAACATGAATACGTTGGTGTGCAGGCCATGACTAATTACGATGGTTACGTATACTGGGGCGAGTATCCGTTAAGTTTCGCCGCTTGTCTGTCACAGGAGGAATGTTTTCGTTTGGTTTTGGCACGTGGTGCTGATCCAGATTTGCAGGACACCAATGGGAATACCGTGTTGCATATGCTCGTTATATATGAGAAGAGTGAAATGTTTGATGTGGCCTACGAAGTTGGCTCAAACATTCACATACGAAATGTACAAAATCTGACGCCACTTACGCTTGCGGCTAAATTGGGGCGAGTGGAAATGTTCTTCCACATTATGAGCATTGAACGTGAAATATATTGGCAGTTGGGGAGTATTACGTGCGCTGCATATCCCTTGTCGAAAATTGATACGATTGATGGCAAAACTGGCAACATCAACAAGGACTCCGCACTGAATTTTGTGGTTTTCGGTGTATGTTGAATAATTTAAGTGTCGGATTTATGTTGAACTTTTTAAAGTTAAGTAATACTTTTTTTCAGGATAAATTAGAACATTTAGAGCTTTTAGATGGAGTGGTCATAGATTTACTTAAAACTAAATGGAACACGTTTGTGAAGTCGAGATTCTACAAACAATTTTATATGTTTGCATTTTATTTTCTGTTTTCGTTAGTAAGCTTTATATCACGTCCCGGGCCACCAATTAAAGATGAAGATGATGAGGACAATAAAGAAAGTATCAATACAACATACCGAAAAAGTGAACAATTAAATGAAAGAAAGGAAGTGATAAAGCGTGCGGCTATAAACACTGAGTACAGTAAGAAAAATTTATTAATTACTTAATAATAATATATATTTCCTTTAATACAAAGGAAATTCAGTTTTTAAATAACAGATCAATTTAATAATTGGTATGCTTTAATTTAAAAAACAAAATAAATTACACCTTTAATTTAATTTAATTTAAGAATACTTCTTCCCTTATACTTATTTTAAAGGAATAAGTACTTAAACTTTTCTTCTAAGGAAGAAGGCAAATAAACTTCGAAATGTCGGTCATATTTATATAGATAATAACTATATAAAATAAAAATAAAAAATTAAAAAAGAAAAACAAATCAAAAGTTTTTTAATCAGAGTTTTCAGAAGCCTTTAACAGAAATAATACTAAAAAAAAGTATTTAAAACGTGTACTAAAAAAGTACTAAAAATTAACTCGTAATTATTTTAATTTAATTAATTTCTATTTAACAGAAACCTTTTGGTTAAACTTTACGGAGTATTTTGATGAAAATGAAGTTGATCCCGGTCCCTCGTGGTGGGCTAGCTATGCAGAATGTCCTCTAATGAATATGGAATCAGATTTAGCAAAGGTAGCCTCCATCATATTACATTGTCTACATCCTTATTTACAATATACTCATATAGAGAAATACTATTATTTATAGAAATGTTCACAAAATAGTTTAATCATTCTCTATCTTTCTTAATTACAGATACGTCTTATTGCTGAGATTGTTATTTTCTGTGGCGCAATATTATATTTGCTTGCTGCTCTACGTGAAGCTCGATTTCTGGGCTACAAAATGTTTATAGAAAATTTGGTAAAGGATAATATCAAACCTAAAGCTTTCAAAGAATTTATTTTGAGATTTTTTTTAGATGACAGCACCATCGCGTGTTATGTTTTTATTCTCCTGCTGCCTAATGATGACAATTCCCTGGTTGCGTCTGTCTTGTCTTACGGAAATGGATGATCATGTAGCTGTGGTTATAATGCTAACAACAGCGCCGTACTTCTTATTCTTTTGTCGGTAATTATATATACAAAAAGTTTTTTTTAAATAATACATGTTCTGATATAATGATTCTGCATTGGGACACGAATGAGAAAAGAATTTAAAGTAACCAAAGTAGATTAGCACATCTACAGGGATGATCAAAGTTATAAAGTGAGCACTGGTAATTTAGTACGGGGAGGGAAGTTTACTAATGCGAGTATACTTATTATTTTCTAAGATAAAGTGTTCGTTATCAACAAAGCTAGTATCTTTGTTTCATGAACTTTTAAGATAAACGTATTGTATTATTCTCCAACTATGGGTTGCAATACTCACTATGTCTACCTAAACTACATAATCACAGCTTGTCAACTAGTACAAGTAAAGTCATTGATCAATCAATACTAAATTTCATAATTCCACTTTCGATGGGATTGAAAAATTCAAGGAATTGAAATTTGTAGACAAACTAGTTGAATAAGGAGTAGATCTTCTAAGAATTAATGCTGACTTCACTAAAATATATTCAAACAACTATTTTAAAGTGAAAAATATATTATTTAAGGATAATTCTATAAGATAACTCTAAAATCAACCTTTTAAAACGAAGATCCTCTCGGGTAGGACTAGAAGTGGCAACATTTGTGACGGTTTTGATTGGTAACTGGTACATTAGTACCTTGAATTAGTATATATAAAATTGAGCATCTAATTTACCCAAAACTGAAGCACAGTAGAGAGGATGAGAAAAAGAAAGTGGTTGAAAACTTCCTACACAAATGCGACAAATGCTGGATTAAGTCATTGCACTATTGAAGCCTACGAACTGACGATTCTGGCACTCTTTTCAAATTTAGAATTAAAAGAAAACATAGGTTAGCTTTAATAATCCGTCACAAGCCTCATCTCCGGAGGTGATTATATTATTATTATATTTATTTTTTAATTGAACGGATAGAAAATCTTCCAACCAAATTATCCAACCAAATTATCACTGGTTTAATTAAATTTCGTAAAAATTATTATATAATTATTGTTGATACAAAAGAAATTAGAGATTTTATTTATAATTTTTTTGGGGGAAGAGGTTTCGAGCAATATTGAATTGCAACAACAAAATTTTTATTTATTTTTAATTAATTTCGAAGTTCGAACATACAAGTCAAATAAGGCTTTGTTGTCTAAGAACACTGATTCTGAGCATATAATTGGGCAGGATACGAGTCAGTCATTAGTATTTGCACTCTCAAAATATTATTTTTTAATAACTAATTATAAGAAATATTTCTAAGGCTTCTGATGATGACTCAAAACTCAAATAATTAAAAACAAATAAAAATTTTGTTGTTGCAATTCAATACTGGTCAAAACCTCTCTATTAAAAACAATACTTTCCATTAAGTAAAATAGTCACTCCCGTCATAACTGACGTTAAAATATAATTTAATAGTTTTTTTTTTTTAACAAATCAATTATTTTTATCAAATATTAAATTTTCAACTGCAATTTTTTTTTAGTGGCTTTAAAACCGTTGGACCTTTCGTTGTGATGATATATCGCATGGTTATGGGTGACTTGCTACGTTTCGTTTCTATTTACCTTGTCTTTGTTATGGGCTTTTCTCAGGCTTTTTATATTATATTTCTGACATTTGATAATCCTGCTACACCCGATGAGGTTGATGATTCACAGTCTAATCCCATGCCATCTCCAATGGAATCCATTGTTGCTATGTTTCTGATGTCATTGACTAATTTTGGAGACTACTATGGTGGAATGGTTTCCACACAGCATGAGTATGAAGCCAAAATATTGTTTTTTCTTTTCATGGTCATAGTAAGTGTCCTACTTGTCAACATGTTGATCGCTATGATGGGTAACACATATCAAAAGATTGGTAAATAAATTTTAAATTTCATTTAAAGAACTATGAACAGCAGCTTTTAAACAATTTTAGCTGAAATTCGAAATGAATGGCAAAGGCAATGGGCACGTATTGTGTTGGTTGTAGAACGCAGTGTGCCTCCAGCGGAGCGACTGAAAAATTTTGGTTCATATAGTCAATCAATGTCAGACGGACGTCGAGCCCTTGTACTGCGTCTGAATATGAGTGTAAGTTACAATACGATACGGTGAAAGTCGGAACACAATCACACAATGCAATGTTTTGTTTTTTTTTTTTTGTACCAGGATGAGGAAAAAGAGGAAATGAAAGAAGTGCAGGAAATGAAAAGAATTCACGAACGCTTTTCTAAGAAAAGGCAACAGGAGCGTGAAGCGCGAGCCAAAAAAAGACAAGAAGAATATGAGAAATTTTTTGGTGCAACACCGCAGAACGATGATGAAAATGGAAACAATAACTTTTAAATGGTTTTTTAAAACTTTAAATTTTAATTTCATTAACTGTTGTTAAATATTACCTTAAATAATTTAATTAAAGTCAGATGAAAATATAATGTTAAACAGTGTACATAAAAGAATACTTTTCGTTTAAAAACCTTATGTTCATAGCCTGTTCGAGAAGTATCTGAAATTTTGAATTTAAATGTCATCTATTTGATAGATGACTAAAATTCTCGATTTTATAGCATGGTTAAATAATTATAATTGAATTTTACAACCATTTTAAGTTCTTCGCAGAAATAGTTAATTAGTCTCAATCATTACTCAATAATCTTAATCAAACCTTACTTAGTTGACCATTACAGAAGTTAGTCGTACTTAGTCGGATCCAGTAGCTTTCTCCAGTTAGTCCTATCAGTGGCTCACAATCGCCAGTTGAAAGTTCCGAGATTATTAATATCGTTGGTCATCTGCTACTTCCACTAAAAATTGCGGGTATCTTCTACCATCGGTACCCGTTGTTATCAAACACCTTTCTAACTGAAATTTTTGCTTCTAACATTGACTCAGCTAAATAAACATGAAATATTACTCACGCATCTACCAATAATAATACGACAAGTATTTTATAATGCAGAACAGGTTCATGGAGTAAAACGTCTCAATCTCAATTTATCTCTATCGTCTTCATAGATGACAATTAACATAATATAAATTAAGAATAAAATAGATAATATACAGCTAATAAGGGAATAATACACAATCACATTTTACTGACTTTGTTCTGAGAACATCAATGTCTGTATACAAACTTAGCACTCATTGCGACTTAATGATTAAATTCGAAGTACTGATTGAAATGAATTAATATGAAAAGATAGTAATAATCGTATAAACTTCTTATAATTGATCAACATATGCCATAATTCCCTATTAAGACCACATCGAATTTACAAACTTTAGGAGTAAAATGAAATTAAACAAGTTTTCAAGTCAGTAAAGAAGGGTTATAAGTCTTTTTTCGTATCTCTCTAGCTATCAATATTCACGTATGTATATTCTTTGAAACTGTGATATAACTTTTTGTATTCCCAAGCTTTTTTATGGGTCTGCAATATATTAATAATCTATTCAAATAAAAGTGAATTTTTATATGATAGTGTGACCTATAACTAAAACTTTATCAAACGTTTCAGTACTGAAGCATTTTTAATGGCCACTAGATAGTCTCATGCTTTCTCGAATAACTACTCCCAAATTATGTAGTGGCATTTGATCTCATTGGAGTTTATTCTCTAAATGGTGGTGATCTTGAAATAAATTTTGTAAGCGTAACGTTGATTGGTTTCTTCTTTTTCAATCTCTATCAAGCACATACCTAATATAAGACTATCCATTTAGTGGTTTCAAAACTAAACGTCAATAAAACGTTAATAAAGAAAATTTAAAGTTTCTCAATTATTAAAATTAAAAACGCGCACATACGAAACGTCACAATTAAAAACTAATTTTGCATTACAAAATACTTCATTTTGCTATTTAATATAGTTTTTCAAAATACAAAATATTTTAAAATATTTTAAAAAATCAAAGATAGAAACCAACATAACTTACACCGGCTTGAACTGAAATCATAAAAGTTAAAAAGTTGACCATATTTGAACCAAAATTTGAAGGGTTTGCGATAAGTCGCTTGGGCTCAATTTCATTATAATGTTTCTACTGGTTTAAAAAATACTGAATTTTGATAATTTAATTTTAATTCTCCACATTGTGGGACGAGACATGGATTTACGAATATGTTGTCATATAAACAACCTAGCTAATTTCGAATTGGAGATCCACTTTTATAATTTTCGGATACTTTTTGCAGGGATATAAACAACCAAGACCTAATAGTTTCTTCAGAGTATGAAGTTTATTAAAAATATATAAATATATATATGAAATATATAGAACCAATATTTTGTATTATAATTAAATGAAATTAATGTGATTTATTCTGCCACACTGTGGGACGAGACATGGATTTACGAATATGTTGTCATACAAACAACCTAGCTATCTTCGGATTGGAGTTCGACTTTTATAATTTTCGGATACTTTTTGTAGGTTATATAAATAACCAAGACCTAATAGTTTTTTCAGAGTATGAAGTTTATTAAAAATATATAAATATATATATGAAATATATAGAACCAATATTTTGTATTATAATTAAATGAAATTAATGTGATTTATTCTGCCACACTGTGGGACGAGACATGGATTTACGAATATGTTGTCATACAAACAACCTAGCTATCTTCGGATTGGAGTTCGACTTTTATAATTTTCGGATACTTTTTGTAGGTTATATAAATAACCAAGACCTAATAGTTTCTTCAGAGTATGAAGTTTATTAAAAATATATAAATATATATATGAAATATATAGAACCAATATTTTGTATTATAATTAAATGAAATTAATGTGATTTATTCTGCCACACTGTGGGACGAGACATGGATTTACGAATATGTTGTCATACAAACAACCTAGCTATCTTCGGATTGGAGTTCGACTTTTATAATTTTCGGATACTTTTTGTAGGTTATATAAATAACCAAGACCTAATAGTTTCTTCAGAGTATGAAATTTATTAAAAATATATAAATATATATATAAAATATATAACAGTAGGGTGCCATTAAGGTATATGGGCAATTTTTGTTTCGTAAAATCGGTTGACGGCATCCCCTAGATCGGTTCATTTTACTAAAAAAATAATCTGTGTAAAATTTTAGTTCAATTGGATAAGTGGAAATGGTGCCCCAAGAGCCTCAAAGATTGAAAAATAACGATTTTTTCCTTAAAATTTATCTTTGATTGCTTATATCTTGGATATATTTAATTTTACATAAAAACTGTCTTCCTAAAAGTTATAGATCTATTAAAAATAAACAATTCACTCATACAAAATTCACTCATACAACTATTTCAACGATTTCAGAAGTTTTGGCCGAAAATAAACGTTGATAAGTTTACAGTCGGCTTAGAAAATGAAAAAGTAAGAAAATCGTTAAATATGGATGATGTGTTACGAATTACAAGTTTCCTTTATAAGATTCGTAAGGATAACCAACCAAGAGATGATTATAAGGAACTTCTGGAACTTGCATTAATGTTTTTAGGAGAAAAGCCGAACTGTACCATAAAGTTTCGACCTCCTGGAGCTATACATCATGCAAGATGGATGGTGAAAGTCATGCATGTATTAAAAATATTTTTATTTAGGAAAGAGTTCAAATTATCTACAGAAGAAGAAAATGCTCTTTGAGCCATACGTATATTTATTACTAAAGTGTATGTTGAAGTATGGTTTAATGCTTTGTCATCAGTCGAAGCTCATTTTCAAGATTTTAATCTTCCTTCTATTCTCAGTCAATATCAAAAAATTGTATTTGGTATTTAAGCTCAAAGCTTGTTCATTTGGCTTTTTTGGATTTAAATATATCACCTGAGACAAAGAAAAATATGGTTTCAAATTTGAATATAGATAGTGATGACAACGAAGTCAGAAGAGTATCAATAGATCGCGCAAAAATAACTGAAGGTAATAAGGATACTTTGCTCCAGCAACTTTAACTAAAATAATAAAAATTATGTCGGACAAACCTAGAACTAGTACTTTTTTATTATTAGAAAGATTAAATTTTAGAAATATTGAATTTATTTTAAATTTTTTAGAAATATCAAATTTTTTGTAAAGCTGAAGCGGACAATTACATTCATAGTACTTTCAAAGCTAGCAATCTAGTGACTTCAACTTATTTTTTGTTTTATTCAGTAACTATTAGAAATACAGAAAAACTTTGTATGAGTGAAATGTTTATTTTAAATAGATCTATAACTTTCTCCAGTCAGTTTTTATGTTAAATGAAATTTGTCGGAGATATAAGCAATCAAAGATGAATTTTATGGAAAAAATCGTTATTTTTCAATCTTTGAGGCTCTATGAGGTTATATAAACAACCAAGACCTAATAGTTTCTCCAGCATATGAAGTTTATTAAAAATATTCAAAATATATAAGAGTCAATATTTTGTACTATAATTAAATGAAATTAATGTAATTTAAATGAATTCAATAATGTAACGAAATTAAACATTCTGCATACAATACAGTAAAAATATATCTGATTTTGATTTCTATTAAATTTGGTAATAAAAAACAGTTTATTTAAATGTTTTAAGAAAGTGTTTTTTCAAGCAATAACAAAACGATACACAAGTTTCGATTGAGTAATAAAAAGTTTAATAACCTTAAAGGCTTGAAAGGAATTACGGCTTAAAAGATTAGATACGATATGCCTCAGCAATGCGACAAGCATACAAAATTCAATTTAATGTAAAAATAAAATATAAATTCTTGCGTAAAGTAAAAATAATTCAACAAAAAAAAAATAAATAAATAAATAAAAATATAAGAAAAAAAATCAAATGAACAAATCTGATTAAAAGACTTAAACAGTAAAAGTTAAAGTAAAAAGAATCAAAAAAAGTTAATAAATTGCGCTTATGAATACAGAAAAGTACGCAAAACTGCTAATGCCAACAAAGTCACAAGAAGACGAAGAAGAAGCAGCAGAAAAGAACCAAGAAAGGGACTTTTTAATATTCTCCATACACTGTGAGTAAAAATAAAGACATTACGAGTTGGAAAAATAAAATATAAAAAATAACAGTGAAACAAACGCAGTATTTGACATTTCAAAATTGCCGACAAACGCAGTAAAAGATACTTTATGAAAAGATAAACCTGAATATAAAAAATTAAATATTTTTTTTTTAAGAAAAAATTACTTAAGAATAACGTATTATAATTCTGCTCTAGTATTGCTTGAATAACTGAGGCATTTATTTGCATATGAAATGCTTAATTTCACGGTCATTTCGTATACTTTTGAGGAGTGCAAGTCTTGCAAAATAAATTGCGCAACTTTTCAAACAAAGTTAAGCGAAAGACATTTTTCTTTTTTCTTTTTTTGTAGAGATTGAGTTAACACTAAAGACAAAAACAAAAAAAAAAACATTTTAAATGTTAATATGTTAATAATAACAAGTACGAGTATTTAAATTAATAAATTTTTGCCAGTATATTAAGAAGTGCCAACACCAACAACAACACCAACAACGACAGCGCCTGTAAATGCAGCCGCAACAACCCACAAATTGACATTTCGAACACAAGAAAAAAAAAACAACAAAAAAAATACTGCAAAGACATTATCTCAATTTCACCACGACCACGACCACGACTGTTATTCAAACCATATGTGTGTGCCTGTGTGTAGAGAGACAATGGCAATTATAATAGCAACAACAACAACAACAACAATAACAACAAAATTAACAACAAAACTGTTAGCAAAATATGGCTGCTACCAACCCATAAATCAAACTGAATTTGCAGTTATACACAAAGTTAATTAAACTTTAAAAGTCATAGTTAAGTGTGGACAGCGAATATTTCATTAAATTTAATCATTTATAATTTTTACTATAATTTGTTTACTTTCGTGGCAAAATATATATTAAATTAACTGCATTTCATATATACATATATAAATAAATGTTAAAAAACATAAATGTTTATATGTAATTAAAAACATTTTGCAAATATTATAAAATCAATTAGGAAATTAATGAAGATTCCGTTGTGTGTGTGTATACTTTTTTTTATTTTTGTTGATAAAAATAAATAAAATAAAAGTAATAAAAATATTCAAATTATTACGCATACGTTGGTTGCAATTATTAATATGATTTTTAAATTTATTGCTTGGGGAGTGGTATTTTTCACCTAAACACTCAAAAATACCACGACGTTCCACAAAGTTCCACAAAAGACTTCAACGATGTAAATAAAATCAACAAACTTGTTTAGAAGCTTTAGTGTAATTTCTCCTTTTTGGTGTGGTGAATATGCGATCGATATGGCAAAGGCAGAGACAAGTTTTAATAAAGCCAATTTGACTTGACTCTGACACTGGTTTATTAAATTAAAATATTTTAAGGTGTTTGAGAAAAATATGATTTATAAACAAATTAAATTGTTAAATATTTCAAATATTTAAATTTTTTTTTAAAATATTTTAAGAATATTATAGTCAGTGATAAGAAATCTATTTGAATAGAAAAGTAATCGAATAGTTAGGAAATTTTCAAATCACCAAAATATTATATCATTATATTTTTTTTCCTATATTTATTATTTTATTATTATTATTTTATTTATTAATTATAATTATATGGAAAAGAAAAATATGACAGAAAACTAATGTGAATCTGTACTTATAAAATTTTATTTATTTATTTCATTTGTTTTCAAAATTTTTAAATAAAATCAGAAAATAAAAAAATTAATAAATATTAAGAACATATAAAACTTTTTTTATTTTTCACATATAATATTTATTTTTGTTAGAAGGATTCGAATAGTAAAGAAAAGACAAGGACAAAAATCCTCAGCTAAATTTTAATAAATAAAATAAAAATTTTTGTCTTTGTATTTTCTTTGCTTTCGAATTCGTCTAACTTTTAAATAATTTCTTTTCGTCATAAAGACGCGGCACTCCCGGCATGAAAAAATTGACATTAATAATATTTTTATTTTTGGGACTATTTGGCGATCTAATTCTTGCAAAAATAAAAAATATTAATATAACAGAAATCTAACAAAACGTAATTTAAAATATTAAATTTAAATAAATAAAACAAAAAGACTTATTTTAAGAATTACTAATGATGGATACTCCACAGTAAATAAAATTGTATGGCCAACCAAGAAATTTTATTCAATTAAATAAATTATTGTATTAATTATTTAATTGGTGGATTGGTTCCATTGGCAACTCAGCATATATCATATCTATTAGCTATCTACTAGTAGGAATTTTTAGTTATTTTGCTACCACATTTCTCTAAAAAACCTTAAGATATAAAAAAAAACTAAATGTATAATGTAAAAATTTAGTTAATATATTAGAGCTTTCATTTTTACTGCTGAACAGAATTAGAAACTGTCAAAAAAATGCTTCCCTAAAAACCTATTTCTTTTGGAGGTCAGAGATAAAACGCTTAATTACTTCTACAGTGAAAAACGCAAGAATACGCAGTTTCTCTGCGTAACCAGAGAAAACTGCAGTAAGCCAGAATCAAAAATCTGGTCTTGTTATATACAAGCTTTGTTTACCGAAAAACAAGGTAAACTGAAGAAACACAGGTAAGTACTTTTCCTGTTCTCTCCAGGGGAATATAAACCGGTACGCCTAAGGACACATGTAGGGAACCAACAAGACGAATCAAAACGTCTGCTTTTTAATTTCCCTAAATGTTCCTATATGCGGGTACATAGATAAGAGATATGTCAGCTAGTCAATTTAAGCCGCCAATTCTAGTCCGCATTTTTTACTTATTTTTGATTTTATTATTTTACTTTACTATTTAATATTTTGTATGGATATCTTTTTATAAAAGCTGAATAGAAATTAATTGTAAAAATTGTTTTTTTTACTTAAAATTTTTTTTAAAAATATTGTGTTTATATATATATTGTACCGTATTTCATTAATAATTATTATAAATTTAAGTAATTATTACTTTATCCTTTCTAAAGTTCAACATTTTATATAAAATGATATAATATACTATCCCGCCTATATATATATATATATATATATATAGTCCTTGAAGATAGGATTTAGTCCTTAAATCTCTCTTTGATGATATAAAAAGCTGGATGAACATAAAAACATATCACTAGAAGTCTCATCTCGTAAAAAATAATAACTTTTTATTAAAAACTAATTTTATTAAATTCATATTGAATTAAAATAATAGTAATTTACACTGAACTAAAATAACAATAATATGCGTTAAATTATTTCAATTAATATTAATTGTTAAAATTGGTTTTAGCAAGAAATAAATACACAATTCATTAATCAACTTTTAATTAAAAATAATTTATGCTTCAACATATTATTTTTATATAAAATGTTGAACCTAAGAAAGTATATATTAATAATTACTTAAATTTAAAATAATTATTATTGAAATACACTAGAAAATAAGTCGTTTATGTGTACATTCCAAAAAAATAACAATATATTTAAAAACACTACTTTATCCACAAATTCCCCTAACAAACAAATTCAACTAACTTGTTAAAAAATTTCCCCACATAAAAGCTTTAATGGTTCTTTTAAAAAGTTCACCTCTGCACACTCACGCTCGTGTTGTGTTTTCGTTGTTTGGTGAATTTTTATTTGTTATTATTTTTTTTTTTTGTGTTTAGTTTTAAAAGTTGGTATTTCCGAATATAATAAAAATAAAAAATAAAACTGCAACTTTGCAATTTACATATCCGCCATTTTTTTAAATAAACAAGTAAAATATAAAAAAAAGAAGTGCTTTAATATGCGCTCATTAATTAAAACTCTCATTTGTGTTTACCCCTTTTCTTGCAGGCAAATATATATATATTGAAATTCACCACAATTTATATATTGGAAATCTTAATAAATAGAACTTGATCCTAGTAGCCAACACCTAGTGTAAGCGTGGCTGTGTATTGAGCAAGTACTCAAGCCGTCGTTTTAGAGTCACGGTTTTTTATTTAACAAAAAAAAAGTAATAATTTATTTATTTTAAAAGTGTTCCAAAATTTGGTGTTAATAATTTTAATTTCTTTTTTATTTAACAGTTTTAGTTTAAGTCTAAGCACATACGCAAGATGGCGCGTGTGTTGCCAGTTTTAAGTTTATTTGTGCTGTGCTGCGCTTTAGGTGAGTAAAAATTGAAAAATTCAATAATTTAGTTATTTTTAAATTAAAGTTAATTACTTTTTAAAGTGCAATTTTCTTTGTCTTGAAGTGTTTTAAAATTTATAATATGGAAAACTAATTTTTTTTGTGTTGCAAAAAGTAATTGTTATTAGCTAAAAGAGGTTATGCAAAATTTAAATATTATTCCTTTCAAAATCGTTAAAATAATTAAAAGTAACTCTTAAGAAAATTAAAAAATAAAATAAAAATGTTGAAAGTTGAAAACGATTGAATAAATATAAATAAAATTTTGTTGCACAAGTTATGTTTTAAAATTATTTATTAAATATATATATTTATTATATTATATATAAGAATTTGTATAAAAATTGTTATAATATATAATATAAAATTTATATATACAATTTATTCTCGACTAATTATAATTTTTCAAATAATAATCTTCAATAAGTTCTTTGTTAACAAAAAGCAACATTCTAAATTGTTAAAAATAATTATTATAAATTCATTTACATTTTGTATATATCAAGTCGATCTTGCAGAATCAAGGCTAACCACTTAAAGAGTTAGTTACAAGCAACTTTTTAAAGAAAAATTCGTATTTATTATATATAATTATAATTTTAATAAAAGTTCAACAGTCACTAGGGAAGTTTTAAAAGCTGGTATAGAAATTAACTGATATTTATTGGCAAACAGACGGACTGTGTTTTGTATTTAATTATTTCCAATTCACGAATTCATGTAAGCAGAAAAAGCATTATTAAAGCAAATGTTAATGACTTTTTTATGGATGCAAATGTGGTTAACATGTACTACGAATTGAGGTAAAACTTTTAAGGTGCAGCATAAGACAATTAGTGAAACCACTGCTTGAAGGTAAACCATGTTAAAAAGAGTTTGTATTCAAAGTCCAATATTAGAGAGATTACGAGACTTGCTTTAGATATTGGCAAATAAATTTAATTCAATGAAAAAAATTTTCTCCAGTATAAATGATATTCTATATGTCTAATATACCGGTCAATATTACACAGTGATTGTTGCATCAAACCTACTCCACTAAAAAACCACACTTGAACCCTATGCTCCCCTTGCGAATAAAGAAGAAAAAAAATGCCGGTGAACATAATAATTATGATGAATATATAAGTATACCTATATAATACAATCAAGTATATGCATAAATATTCAAGTTTATACTATATAAATTAACAGCATATATAAATATGTACACCTTATAAATGCATATATATTTTTATATATAAATTATATATTTATATAGCATAGGTTTTAAAGTAAACATGACTTTTTAAAAATTGACATGTGTGGTAGCGCCACCTATTGGTAGTTAGGTGAACCTCTCTCTACATTGACTTGATTTGGCAATAAACTTTAACCTTTTCACTTCAATGGTTTTACAACGTAAGAATAACATTTTAAGGTCATGGAAGCTATCGAAAGGCTTTTACTGATATTCTAAAAGACTGTCAGGCGCAATATTTCCGCTTCCATTCCTCTAAACATAAAGAATTTTAGAAAATTTTAGAACATTTTCGAAAAATGTAATGTCATGTTAAGTAATGACATTAGGAATTTACTTATGGTATATACATTTAATTTACATAGAAATTCCTATTGTATTTGCCGGCTTAAGAAAATTTGCCGATAAAATGTGATAAGGGCTTGTAGTATATTCTATATATAATATATTAATTTACACTTAGGCTTCCAGAAATAGTCAAAAAGCATACTTAAATTATCTAAATCTAATCAGACTGATTATTAAATTTGGCTATGAACAATTATGAGGTAAAAAAAAGATTTTCAATAATTACAGAATTAGTCAAATAAAGTACTTGATTCTTGTAAATCTATCTATACGTTTTTCTTAGTTTTATATGTGTTTTAATCACCTAAGTAAATCAGTTTTACGAAAATACGAAATCTATTGTACCTTTGAGGTAAAGAAATTATATAAAGGAAACTCCGTGCTGAGAAAGATAATATACTTTATGAGAAGTGTTGCTGACTTTATATGCTATATATTATTTCCTGCTAATGAACACAAAAATTAAAATATTATAGGCAGTATATTATCTTATTATAACTTACGTGAACTTAAGTTAATATTAAATTCACGAGTATATATATACATAATATATAGTAAGTATAATTCGTGACTATATAAATTTTATCCACATTTCGTTCATTTTAAATGTCAAATATTAAGCCAGGCTGGCATCTCGTTTGTTGCACAATAAAATGACATTTAAAATTTAATGAAAATTCATTTTAATGCTTTGTCTGTCGGCAATGGGCGAGATTTTATCCGCAACTACTTAAAACTTATGCAATAAATTAACATAACATGATTGGATATAATGAAAATAAAAACAAAAAAATTATACTATCATAATATTTGCATAATTTATTTATTAATGCCAAAAAATTTATTAATGTAATTTCAAAAATGACACAACAAAATTAACACATTTTTTTCTTAATTTTATTTGTTCCAAATTGTTGGAAATAAACACTCGTCATATCTAAATCGGTTTTATGCAATATATTAATAAATACAAAACATTTCAAACCAAAAAAAAAACAACAAAATATATATTGTTAATAATATATTTAAAAAAAAGAGACATAGGAAAAAATGACTACAAAACCAGTTATGCCGACACCTTTAAAGTCAACTTCGTGGTATTAAAATAGTTTTCTTTTTCATTTTATCTCCGCGAACCAACCAGTTTGAGACCAAAAATCTAGTTACTTTGTCATACATTTTATCTTCCTCTTTTCACCTCACCATAAATTTCCCTTTCGGTTTCATTTCATTTAATTGGCTTACGAGGCGATTTGAAAATGTGAATAGACACTCGAGACATTTGTAAATAATGGTTTTGACCAAATAAAACTGATACAACGAGTTTCGATCTATTATGTACACGCAAATATCTCAGATTGTTTTGATGAAATAATTTCCACAGCAATTTGGGAAATGTAATACAATAAAGTGATCATTTTAGATTAATCCAGCTGAGGAGAGAGAGAAAATTGCTTATAGGGGAAAAGAGGATTGAGTGGTTTTAGCAGTGGTAGACTTAACCACTGATTTGTTACTATTCCCGGTCAAGAACACTTACATTTTTTTAAAAAACCTACAAGGTTAAAAAATTAGATCATATTTTTTTTTTGGAGATTTAAAATATCCACTAGGTCTCTTAAGGGGGTAGATTTCCATAGCGGAATATGTCAATCGGAATTTTCAAAAAAAATATCATTCGTTAAGAACATCTAATTTATAAAACCAACCTACCTGGTTGAAAAGAAGCCTATATCTTGGGGGGTAATAAATAAGTAATACATTTCCATAGTAAAAATAAATGTTACCATTCCCGGTCAAGAATATCTACATTTTAAAAAATAACACCTATATGATTAAAAAGGAAGATCAAATTTTAGAGACTTAAAATGTCCACTTGATTCCTTAAGTGGGGGATTTTCATAGTGGTATGTCTCTAGAAGCCCTTGGAAATTACAAAGAAAATGTTATCGGTAAAGAACATCTAAATTTTAAAACCAACTTATGTGGTTAAAAAAGGATATTTTTGGAGAGTTATGTTTGAGATGTCTACTAGATTTCGTAAATGGTAGATTTCCATAGTGGAATATATCAATTTTGACAGCCCTCGAAGTTTATAAAAAAAATGGTCAGTTGATTCTTTTTACTTTTCTTATCTGCAGCTCCACTATATTGGATTGAAAGAAATAACCAATAGAATATTTATTTTCCATCAATTCTTGCCCAATCAAGTTAGTTTGGATTCTTAGCAGCCCATAGTAGTCTTTCGTCTGTGTTCTGCTGCTCTTAGAAAATAATTGTTGATATAGTTTTGATTACATTTTAAAGAAAAGAAAGAGAGATTAATTAGAGATTAATTACATTGGAAGCAGTTTTTTAAGTAAGAATTTCCACTTCCTTTTTCTATATGCAAATTATTCATTATAATTTTTCCTAAAGCAGATCTTTAGATATATATTAAAAAATTATAGCAACTTTAATGTTATTGTCGATATAAATACCCTTCACATATAGAGCAAAACAAAGTTTAAGTTTGTCAAAATTTTTATAACACGCACACTTCTAAGACCAAATTAGACTAAATATATAAGATATATGTTCAGTACGATTAGGTAAATCATCTCACCGAAGTCTGTCTGTCTGTCTGTCTGTCTGCTGTCTGTTTGCCTGTCTGTATCTTTATCTATTCGTTCGCCTGCGTTTTCGCTTATATATTTATCTGTGTGTACGTCTATCTGTTAACATATTCTGCATTCAATTTATTTTGGAGTGAATCGAGTGATAAGTCGCACAACGATTTATTTTAGGTCCATAAATAGATAATTTTTTTAATTTAACTATAATATAATTCATATATTCTTAACTAGAAAACTTATATTGTGCTATCTATTTCACATTTAATTATATTCTAAATTATCATAAATATTATTATTAAATTTTTTGTTTTAATATTTAAATAATCTTATGAGACAGGTTCTGTATTATCATAAAAAAGAATAACATATAACACTGCAATCATAAAAACAAATTTATGTCTTTCATATAAAAAGTGTCTATAAATTGCTATTTATAGATATATAGCCTGTTTGGTCACGATTTGTCGTAAAATAATCGAAAAATTCTATCAAAAAATATATTTAACTGGGAAGTAGGATTAAAGTAGGATTGATATCTGTTTAGAGCTATGAAGTTACATTGCACCACATAACCATAAATTCTGAAAGTTTTTATGTCCCAATAATGTTCTATTTAACATCACTCATGTTTTGTATAGAATTTGTATGGATTTGTATAGATTTTTTGTATAGAAAAAGAAAATTGCAACTTAAATACTTTTGTAATATGTAATAAATATTATTTTAATAATTTTGTACCAATTAAGTTAATTTATTCTTATTTTTATACAGTTGCCGCTCAAGATTCCAAAGACAAATTAGAAGGCGTTGACGTCGAAGAGGTCTGCGCAGATAGAGCGGCAGATGAGTATTTCCGTTTAGATACAGAAGGCGATTGCCGTGAAGTTTACAGGTAAATTAATGAAAGAAATTTATATAAAACATTTAAATTTAAAAATTGCAAAAAAAACAAAAAAAAATCTTTGGAAAAATTTTGTTTAGAAACTTAATAGTCACATAATTTGAAATTTTTTGAATTTGAATTTTTTTTTAATTAAATAATTAACATATGAAAATTTTGCAATATAAAAAATAATGAATTCCGAGTTTTAGCTATTTCTCATAATGTATCTATCTCATTGTTGAAAGAAACATAAAATTACAATTATTTATACACATAACAATACAAATACAAATTTTTCTTTTAAATCGTAATTAAGATGTGACAATGCCGGTGAGAATGGCAGCACACGTTTAGCATCCATAAGATGCGCAGGTGGTTTGGCATTCGATATCATACGTCAAACCTGTGATTGGAAATCGAATGTCAAAAATTGTGATGAATTTGAAAGTAAGTTCAATGAAACAAAAAAGTTTAAAAAAAAACAAAAAAAGATGGCTGAAATTAAACTATTTAAAGCCACAGAATTGCTTTTATTTTTGACATTTTGGACAAGTCAAAAATTCTACAGTTTCTTCTCAGTATTATTGACGCATTAAGACTTTGTCTCTAATTTCCGTTGGTGATTTTTGTTTCATTATCTAAACTTCTTCTATACTCTACTGTCATTTATTATATCGAATCTCTAATATATATTTATCATATCATATATATATATATATCGTATGTGTTTGTATTTTTGTATACTTTTGTCTCTAAACTATGGTCTCCTTTTTGTAACTAACAAATCTACTATGTTTCTATGTTTCTGCGTATTTCTATAATTCTATGATTCTACACTTTCTATGTTTCTACATAATTCTATGTTTCCAATTCCTAAGCAAATCGACGGGTTTCCAAATAAATTCTAATACCAAAGTTCGAAGATATCAAAATAATAAATATATTACATATAACAAAAAAAAAAGAAAAAAATATATATTACACATCAACACTAGAAAACGTTTAGTAATTAAAATAAAATACCTTTGTAAGGATTCCCATAATTAAAATTAATTAAATTGTGTGTATATGCATCCCCTCCTAAACTTGACCCTTATCCAATTTTTTTGTGTTTCATAGATGTACTAAATCGGGTTTGAAAGAAATTCAGTGCCCCTCTGGCTTGGCCTTCGATATTATGAAACAAACCTGCGACTGGAAGGCTAAAGTAACTAACTGCGATGAGAAAGAGAGTAAGTGTCCCCAGATATAGTACAGTATCGAAATGTAGTAGATTAGGTTTTGGTATCACTTTTGTGTAAGCACGTAATAACTTGTTAATTTGTAAAATAAAAGCACGTCACCTCTATAAAATAAATAATAAGTTAACGTTGTAAAATGTTGTCAAAATTGTAAAAAAAAAATACTTAAATGATGTAATTGGAACTTTGGTTTTGGTGGATTTAAATTGAGTTCTACTTTTAACTACTTAATTCTTTAACTATTGTATTTTATCTAAAATCATTTCCTAAAACTTTTTAATATAATCGATTTCGTTTGTATGAGAGAGTGTCAAAAGAACAGTGGATTTTTAAAAGTAATTCGTATGTAAATGTACACTACTCGCTTATTTCTAACATAACAAATAAGCGACTTAATTTGCAATGTTGTCAAATGTGTTAATTGTATTTAACCCAACCATTGTTAATATTACTGCTTTCATACAATAGAAATCGTCTATTTTTACACCTTTTCAACTAATGTTAACTAATATTTCTTAAAGCTCTCTAACTGTAATCTACTACTATTTTGAAATTAAGCACATCGCATAGTTTGCATACCATAATTTCAATTTTTCATATATAAATATATTCTACATATTAACTAATTTATTAATCACAATGTTTAGAACCACGTAAGGTTAAACCTATTTTGAAGACTGATGAGCCCATCTGTCCAGATGGAAAACTCTCCTGTGGAGATGGTGAATGTATTGACAAGGAATTATTCTGTAACGGCAAATCTGACTGCAAAGATGAATCTGATGAAAACGCATGTTGTAAGTATTTCAAAGACAGTATTTTTTCTCTAAGTATAAAAACACTCATAAATTTATTAAATCTTTTACAGCCGTTGATGAGGATCCAAATCGTGCTCCAGAATGTGATCAAACACAGTGTGCTCTGCCAGATTGTTTCTGTTCAGCTGACGGTACTCGTATTCCCGGTGGTATTGAACCACAACAAGTACCACAAATGATAACCATCACATTCAACGGTGCCGTTAATGTAGATAATATTGATCTGTATGAAGATATCTTCAACGGCCAACGTCAAAACCCTAATGGTTGCTCCATTAAGGGTACATTCTTTGTCTCTCACAAATACACCAATTACTCAGCTGTACAAGATTTACACAGACGAGGTCATGAAATTTCCGTTTTCTCACTTACACACAAAGATGATCCCAATTACTGGACAGGTGGTACCTATGATGATTGGTTAGCTGAAATGGCTGGTGCTCGTTTGATTGTTGAACGTTTTGCTAATATTACTGATGGTTCAATTATTGGTATGCGTGCTCCATACTTGCGTGTTGGTGGCAACAAACAATTTGAAATGATGGCTGATCAATTCTTCGTTTATGATGCTTCAATTACTGCTTCATTGGGACGTGTACCAATCTGGCCTTACACACTTTATTTCCGTATGCCACATAAATGCAATGGTAATGCACATAATTGTCCATCTCGTAGTCATCCTGTTTGGGAAATGGTCATGAACGAATTAGATCGTCGTGATGATCCAACATTCGATGAATCATTGCCCGGTTGTCATATGGTAGACTCTTGCTCCAACGTTGCCAGTGGTGAACAATTCGCACGTCTTTTACGTCACAATTTCAATCGTCACTACAATAGTAACCGTGCACCATTGGGTTTACATTTCCATGCTTCTTGGTTGAAATCAAAGAAAGAATATCGCGATGAATTGATTAAATTCATTGAAGAGATGTTGGGACGCAACGATGTATTCTTCGTCACAAACTTGCAAGTTATTCAATGGATGCAAAATCCAACTGAAATCAACACACTACGTGATTTCCAGGAATGGAAAGAAAAATGTGATGTCAAGGGACAACCCTACTGCTCACTTCCAAATGCGTGCCCTCTGACAACAAGAGAATTGCCCGGTGAAACTTTACGTTTATTCACCTGCATGGAGTGTCCAAATAACTATCCATGGATCTTAGATCCAACTGGAGATGGTTTCTCAGTTTAAATTATATTCATAAAAAAAACAACAATACAATGTAGTAATTTAAACTTAAGCTATGTGAGAATTTTACAAATTCTTCTTTTGTTGTTATAGACTACAATTAAAATTACAACACGTAGTAGTTCCACCGAGAGTCTGATTTCATGAAAAATAATTCAAAATAATTAAAGTTAAATATAAAATTCTAATTTTCAATAATTAAACAAAAGTAATTAAAATGTAAATTTAAATACAGTAACTGTCGAGAATACTCATCTAAGTAAAATTTATCAAGTGTTATAAATATATATATATATTAGTCTCTACTTTTTATACATGAACTGTTTGAACTGTTAAACTCTCTTCTATTTCTTACTGTTTTCTGGACTACACTCCAGTTAAAATTTTAAACTTTTCATTTTTTCAACTTTACTTTCATTTTACTTTTTTCTAACTTTTCTTTCTCTCTCTTCCTATCATTTCTATTATCAACTTTTCTTTATATGTTTTTAAGTTTCCTTTCTACCATCTTCCTTACTTTTTTAATAATTTATTTTCAATTTCCCTATTTCTTTTTAAACTTTTGTATATATATTATATTATTTCCTTTGCTTTTTCTCTTTTCTCTTCTTTATTATAATTTTTTGCTGCTCTCTACAATTTTCTCAAGCAAAAGCGCCAAATAAATCACAGCAGCTAAAAATGTTTTGAAGTATATTAGTTTTTTTATTAGAAATATGAAGGATGTAAACGTAATAAAACTTTTTTTGTTTTATAAATAAAAATTAAGAAAAAATTATGGTCATGATTTTTATTTATTATATAGAAACTACATAAGGTAAGCATATTAAAGCCTTTACAATAAAAAATTAAACTATAACGTTTTAATGCAATTAATTATTTATTATTTACGCATTATTAAAAAAAAATGTTCTCCTCTTCTGGTAATAAGTAAGAACTTATTGCCTAGTTAGAGGCAAATAAAATCTGTAAAATTTAACTGCATACTTATAGGAACGATAAAAAATTATATATTACCAATATTGGTCAACAAAGAAGAAATAGTTCAACTTAAACGCTGATTACTTTTTATTATTTATGTATTTATTTTTTTTTAAATATGGAATAATGTCGCTTAATATTTACCACATAATATTGTAATAATAGAAATGCCAATTAATTTAACATTAATTTTCGTGTTATAAATTTCTACAAATTATATTTCATAAAAATGCAAAATCAAAACGATTGAAATATATGAATAAACCATCATCTGTCTGGTGTATTGTAATCGCTGCAAACACTGAAGATTCACGAAAGAATTAAAAACATGATTACAAGATCATGGAAGATTATCAATTTAGTTTAAATACGGAAACAGGTGTTATATATATTTCCTTTAAAACAAAACAAAATATATATTCAGTTTTTATTTTTTTAAAAATATATATATTTTTAAAAAAATAAAAATGGGAAGATATAATTTTTTTATATGTCAAGCGAAAGTATATAAAAAGTATAAGCTACCTTTTTTATCGTAATTGATTAAAACATGGTATATTTTTTTATGACAATTTTATGTCAATTATGACAATTTATTATCACCTAAACACTCAACAACAGCAGCGTTTTCTTAAATGCTTGTGTTAGTTAGATCTTTTCCTGACTTTTTTTTTGGAAAACAATCCACTGCTAAAGGCCATGTTATATATGGTAGAGTATCATATGCTCGCCATGAGTAAAATTGTTGTTGTTTTCAATGCAAATTATAAAATTGAGCGTGAGAAGAAAAACAATATGTCGGTTCAAATTTGGTCATGGGAGAGTCTATCTGTGCCTCGTCAGTTAGTCAAAGCAGTGTTATTCAGTAATAAATGTCAACATTTATGTCTTTTAGAAGCATTATCAAATCGTCAAAGCCTAAAAGCGACAATTTTGAGGAGTCCATGACACTCTACATAACATAGCCTTTAGAATAATAACCAAGAACAAAAACGCTTCTGAAGATCTAATAATAAATAAATGAAACTAAAAAATACCCTAACTTCAGAAGTATCACTTTACTTATACATTATGTAGAAACTTTATTATTATTAAAAGTAAAAAAAATATATAACAAATTACCATATCAACTGACCAGTTGAATTTTTTCTGAAGTAATAAATATTAGGTCTGTTCCGCGAGCTACTCATAATAACTTTGAGTAATACTGTGTACACACAAGTGCACGGTTGCCACTTAAAAATTTTTTTCAGTACCAAAATTGGTTCCAAAAGGTACCATTTCTGTAAAAAAAGGTCCTTTTTGTTTTTTCGTTCTGTGGTTTTCATAGTATTATAAATGAACAAAATATGAAATAGTGCAAAGTTGCATTTATAAAAAAAAATTAATTGGAAATATCCACAATAAAGTTGGGTCGTCAAAAATGTACCATTTTTTGAAATTGAGTACCAAACGAAAAAAAAGTACCAATTTCGGTACTAAAGTACTATAAGTAGCAACCGTGCACAAGTGCGTTCCACCAGCCAATTTTTGAATAAATGAGAACATCTGAACATCTGAGAGAATAACATCCTTGTCGAAATTTGAAAATGCTACACAGACTTTACTTGTACATTTTATTTCAAGTAAATTTGATGTGCGAATCAGCTGATGATGTGTGAATCAGCTTTACACAAAGCTCTTCCATGAAAATCTATTTAAAGAGCTAAATTTGGCACTTTATTTGTGTCACGCTCTCAGTTTGTAGTTTACTTGTGTTTTACGTGAATTTTACTACGAGTAGCTCGTGGAACAGACCTATTATAAATTTATTTCGAAAAAGAGCAGTGTTTGTTATAGTCCCAACAGTTATTATTATAATGGGTAATATTAAAAATATTTTGCGCTTTTGGGTACATTTGTGAACAAAAGTTTTCTTTATTGAAAATCAATTTTAATCAAATATATATTGACCATTATTATTAAGTACTTCATGCAATTTTTCGGGCAGTTTCATAATTTTATTGTTACAGAAGTTTTGTAGTTTATTGGCAAAAAGCTTTGCCAAATCATTTTTAACTGTTCTTCGGTCAGTTATTTTTTAGCGTTCAGATTTTTTTTTTTTTGATTATATAGATGTGTGCTAGTATCTAATTCGTTTAGAACTAATCATATTATACGTAACATTTGGTATCCATAACTTGTATATAAAAAATTTTCTTACCATTTTTCATTTAATAAATAAAAATTTTAGGGACTACTTAAATTTTATTATTATTCTCGTTTACACGCTATTTCTATGTAGTGACAGTTAATAAATTTTAACCACATTTTGAATGCTAAAATGTTGAACTTATAAGTAACGAAATAATCCAACTGTCAGATTTCAATATTTGCTTACTGAACACACCCATTGTCAGAACTATTTGCAATGAACATATCACACAGCGATTGTCATTATTTTGACATTTCGTTCAATACAGACGAACCAGCTGAGTGCATGAATACGTGTTTTTCTTAATTGAATTAAATTAAATCAATTTTTAAATAAACTTTTTGTAAACTGAATAAATAAAATGACGGAATACAAGTTTTCAGACAGAGCTTATACTAAAATGATTTTTCATGCTGCCAAATACCCGCATTTGGCAATAAATGGTGTTCTCTTAGCCGAAAAGGGAGCAAAGTCAAATTCTGTGGTAATTGTGGACGCCATACCACTTTTTCATCAATGTTTATATGTAACACCAATGGTCGAAATTGCACTTATGCAGGTAAAAAGCATATGCCTATATTGCCTTTATAATGTCATTGAGACTCCAATAAATTTGTAGGTTGATGCGTACGCCGAGCGTGAAAATCTGGTGATTGCTGGGTACTATGCAGCGTGTGAGAATTTTTATGATAACACTTTGGATAAAGTGCCAGCAGCAAAAATTGCCGATAAGATACAGGAAAACTTTAAAGGGGCTTGTTTCGCAATTATTGACAATAAGTTGGTTACGTTAGAGCAAGAGGAAGTGGCACTAAAAGTATTCTCATGCAACGATGGTGGGCGTTGGTCAAAAAGCAATTATTCTTTACAAAATTCAAAGTCCACTTTGGAAGCTGTTTCTGTTTTATTAAAACGTGGAGCTATGAAAGACGTTGTTGATTTTGATAATCATCTGGATAATCCAAAACACGATTGGACAAACGAGCTACTGAATAAGGACTTGAAGCAAATTATGGCCATGTATTAAGTGTTGCTGTGCGGTGTTAAGCTGATGGTGACGTTAACTAATATACAATTTTACATATTTTAATGTAGCGCATTTTAAAAGTTATTGGTTTAAGTGAAATAATAGTAACTGATTTTTATTCAATTACACGATAATCGTAATTAAATTATTTCAATAATTTAAATGAAAAAAAATAGAGTGTATTTAATTTATTAAGTTTTATATTTTTAATGGTATATAATTTTTCACAAATTTTATATCTTGTTAACATAGGCAATCTTAATGCTATTCGGTTTGTTGTATTTAATTTTTAAATATTTTATAAATTCCAAAAATAATTTTTAAAGAGTTAAATTTTTAAAGCCATAAACGCACTTGCTGATCCCAGCTAGTGGAAGCCAAACACATTCCATTTGGTGTTAAACTAATACATGTTATACGATTTTCATGGCCTGAGAGCATACCTATAAAAATATCCAAATATTTATAAATTATATCACATTCAACTATATAAAATATTTACCATTATGCTGAGCTTTCATTGTATCCCAGGCATGTATATTGCCTTCCACACCAGCGCACATCAAATAACGTCCACTTGTTGATAAAGCTGCAAGGATTCCAGATCTAATAATATAATATTCAAAATATATAAAATATTTACTTACCACAAGAGGTAAAGCCAGTATTCTTTTGTGGTGGTTCATATACAGCGATTTGTTGATCCGAACGTATATCGTATAGACGTGATGTCTGATCTTCTGATGCGGACACAAAAGCATTACCACTGGGATGATACTGTAAATAATTTAATTAAATAATTCTACAAAGTATTTATGCTTTAAATATACTGACACAAACTGAACTGACATCCATTTCATGTCCGAAAAACATTTGCTTATGCTTCTCTTCACGTACATCCCACAACTTGGCGGTTTTATCTACCGAACCAGTAATATAAGTCTTCATATCCGGCGAAATTGACAAACCAGCTATATCACCAGCATGTCCATTGAAATCCATCGTTTTAACACCTTTCTCTAAATCCCAGTGGCAACTAATAGCAACACATGTCTTAAAGTAAAGACAAATACTGGAATAAAGGTGCAATCAACTTACATCTTCATATCACCTGAACCAGTTATTATATGTCCATCATCCAAGAATCGGCAAGAACTTAAAAAACCTTCATAACCTAATAATTCACGTGTCATCTTCGCTACGCCTGAGGCATCACGATTGTTTACATCATAAATAGTGCATTGATTATCCATACCACCGCAAGCAACAAAATTGCCTGAAGGTGAGAAGGCGACAGTCATTACCCAAGCTGAGCGCAAAGGTATGATCTAAATTATTTTAATTTAGAGGTTTGATATAATTAAATTCTTTTTTGTGTGTTTTAGTTGTCAGTTACCTGGACTTTATTTGCCGTCCATGTATCCCATATAATTAGTTTACCATCTAAAGAACCTGTTACACAATGTCTTGAATCACCAGCAAAATGCACTGAATTTACTTTATTAATATGTCCTTTGAGTACCTTTCGAGTTAATAGAAATATTTATATTTTTTTTATGTGCTCGGTAACGTAAGTTTACCTTCTTAGAAGAAAAGCGTATCTTAGGAATTCCGGACATATCCCCACACTTTTCTTCCAAAGTGCAGTCGGCTTTTGCTTTTTGATCATCCTACAAATTAACGAAAAATATCGAACATTTATGGAATAATTTTTTGTTTTAAAAAAAATAAAAATTTAATAAATGGTTCAACAAGTTCGCGAAACCACCTCGTCTATTCTTCAATAATAGAACAAAAATTTCGACGCGATTTTAGTATTTCAAAAGATCAGAGCCAGAATTTTTTTTTTGATTTATTTGAAGTCAGGATATTTTATAGCAATTAAGAACACTAAATAATGTCCAGTGATTAAATTTTTTGTCAAAAAAAGTTTAAAGGCAGAAAAAGTACAATCCGTCATGGTAAATGCATTACAGGAATCAGATCCTTCAAAAGTAATAGTATATAAATCGATTGTTTTTATACACAACAAAATTTCTCGTACAAACTTCGAATATAATTCACAGTCAATGCTAGAAATATAAATTGTAATATACAGAATATGGGTTCGTCAATCGAAAAATTCCTAATAAGACACGCTTTATAGAAAAAATATTATTTTCCGTTAAGACAATGCATCCGTTAATACATCCCAAAAAGAAAGTTTTGCTAAAATCTGTTAATGTACGAACTTTTCCATTTTCGAAAATAAAGAGGTTATAGTTATTCTGAATTTTTGCAAAAATTACTACAACAAAGATGAGTTTCAAAAAATTAGTGGTTCATTCCACCTTACTTAGAAATAAAGTCATTTTTCTTATTAAAATCTGTATTTTTTAATTCCAACTTTTTTTCCAAAAATTTTTTGGACAACATAGTATGTAGATATATAATTGTTGAAAAAATCTGTGGAAATACGATAAGATCTCGCTGGCTGTCGTATACTGTTCAACAGAATAGATGGATTTATATTAATGAGTAAATATATATAAGTAATTGAGAATGAGTTCAGAAACACTTCATGTTTTTAAATTGACATAATAATATAATTCCAAAGATTGTAACATCGTAATATATATATGTATATACTGATATGTATATATAAATACATTCTAAATGCTCAACCCATATTCTCAGTAATCAATTGCTGAATTTGTATGTTTTCACTGTGCTTTGTATTCTAACGTTATTAGAACAAGTCGAATTAGTTTTTTGAAACCACAAAAAATTGCTCCGAGCTTCCAATACTGACCTCGTTTTAAATATATACTGATTATTCGAAATCATTAACGATTTCCAATTGGGGTAGGTTTAGGGTCAATTGTGTCAATCAATATAGAAGTACGAAATAATTTACAATGGTATATACGACTCAAGCAATCACGTCTTAAAATAAGCAAGTTTTCGAAAATGAAAATTGTGCGTAATTATTGAAATTCGAAAATTCGAATTTTAATTTAAAATATTGTTTTAACATTGACCTTAAACTTTTGTATCATTCCATTGATTTCATCGTACAATTTTTGTGTTTCCGGATCAATTTTAGGCATTTTTAATTAATTAGATTTTTTTGTTTTTATATAAGACAAAATAATTTATTTTTTAAATATTTGATAATATTTAGATTTATTTTTAAATTAAGATTTAATTTTTTCACCAAACCACATTTAACAGTGAAAGTCTTTTATGAACTAAAATTTTAAATATTTTACAAACGTTATTTGACTAAAGAAAGTAAGAAAAAATATTTAATGCAATTAGCTTAATTGGATTTAAAAGTTCTGCATAGGTAAATAAAAGGAAATGTATATATACAATGTGGCAGGAGAGTTTGCTCTTTTACACATTTTCGAAACCGACTAAAAGTCAGGTCAGTGAGATTTTTAGTAAGAACTAAATTTTCTACCTTGAGGTCGCTAATTTGATTGGAGAAAGTGGAAAAGAAATGATTAAAGAAAATAGTGGATCATATGGAGAAATGCATAAGTAAACATTCAATAATGATGAAATCATCTTTAATATACACATAACGCCCGTGAGCTCTACGCAATGGTTGACAATTATATTTAATAAAAATGAAAAATAATTAGTTGACACATATATCATAATTGTAATGATTATATGGATACAAAAATATTGTGTATCTTGAAGAAATAAGTACAATTCATCAGTAAACAACAATAAATGAAATGGATGGCACTGTGGCAAAAATATTTGAAATATAAATAATTTTATTTTAACTAAACATAGAAATCTGCATATCGAGTTCCTAACCGGAGTGGTCTACAGAGTTTTGTTGTCGATATTTACGAATGATTCTAGGGCTTAGACACAACCGCTACTCGACTTAAACATAACATAAAGAAACCATTAATTTTAATACGTGAAAATTTGTGTAAATCCCAATTTAGTGCTACATGGAAGATAGATTCAGAAATATATAACGAATTGCTTAATTGTTGGATAACTTGAGAAACCGTTTTATATGTAATAATTTTGAGTTATAAACAATCGATTTCATTTAAAATTATTTTACCTTTACTTTAAGAGTATCTTAGTTAGTAACAGAATCTCTTTAAACCTTTTAAGTTTTATGCGGTAATGCAATGGAGCAATTGGTCTAAGTGGAACCTTATGACTACGATTATAAACAAAGCTGTATTTAAATTTAAAAGTGACAAGAAATAAAATATATTAAAACAAATTTTTTTCTACAGTCATTTTAACTGTAATTCCACAAAAATTTAAAAGAGCTGGGATCTATAGAAGAATAGAGAGAAAAATCGACTTACCCACGTTACTCGCGTTACGTTATTGTACATAAACAACTTAAATATCATCTATATCAACAAAAAAATTTGTAAAAATTTGAACTATACGAGATTGTATTCATTAATCGTTGGCTAGATTAATTTAGCATAATACAATAAATCCTATAAATCACAATATAGAAAAATGATAGCATAATAACAATAATCAAGACTATGTTATATGTCTCCCTACTAATAAATTTATATACTAATAAATTTTGATTCATATATTTTATATATTGAATAAACTAATAATATACCAATAATAATATTATTAATAATAATATTTATACTACTATGTATTAATAATATTAATACAAATTGTTTAATATTATTAATACATATTAATACATATCATATAAATGCAAAGCATCTCTGCCTCATATGATTGGTACCAAAGCACATTAAGGATATAGTATTCCTTTAAAAAGAGAATAAATTTCTTCATTAAGTGCAAAAGAGCTTTAAATATATAGGAATATATATTCATAATCATAATTTTTCCAAATAAGACCAAAAAGTATCGACGCATCACTTAGCTTGCATTTGGGAGCTAAGACAAATTTTTTTTTGTCGTAGTCTTATGCTCGTAAGTTTAAGTAATACTTTCGACATTTTAGACTCTACAATCTAACCGATCGTCTAATAGAACCAACCGATTGTCAATAAAAATGCTGAAATGACCCTGCTGGCTAAAGCACATCTTCATCCTGAAATTAAGATATCATCTAATAAGTTGCAGGAACTGATATAGACAATGACGTTGAAATCGGCTAAACCAACGAAAATCACCTATCAAATGAATGCGTACGAAACTGCTGCATAACTACTATAAAACTGATTGAAACAAGCTTAATGAGGCATTTCTTAAAAAGATTTTAACACAATTAAAGCTTTATTCAGTGCATGAAAACGATTCACTGAAATTAGAATCCCGTTCCCACCCGTCTACTCAGATGATCAAGTGATGCTCGCCACTAAAAACATCTCGGCTTGAAATCTATATGAAATATGCTTTCCTTATACAACAAGAACTGTTCCAGTCTTCATAAAGTTAGCATATAATCACCTGCTAAACAATTACTTGTCGAGTATAAATACGTCCATACGCATTGTGCACAAATGACATCGTCTATTTTTTATTATTTCACAACTTACACAGTAATATGAAGTATGTTGATACATAGTTTCGGCCCACTGAAATGGCTAGGCTCTTTCATCATCAATCACACTAATTTCAACAAATATATCAATATTGTAAATTACATGTATTACTCTAGAAATCTAGAAAAGTTTGAATCTATGTCTTGACGACTTCCGTTATTAGCACCCAAATATCGTTTCAAAGTTTTATCGATACTTACCACTCACGAAGAAGATGATCTAAACAGTTTCCCCTAAAAAACTAACCGATATATATTAAAAAATTAACCGGCAGATTTCAATATATCATGTCCTATTTTGAACAAGACAAAAAACAATTTAATTCAAGGTTATCTTCCCATCAAAGGAAAGATGCGAAAATCTCGTTACAACTGGTTCGCTCATATAATGAGAAAAGCAGAAAATCTATAAGCCAAATAGGCTACTCAAAGCCTGGAAAAATACAATTAAAGTAGACATGCAGAGCAGGAATGTCGTAAACGAACATACATCTGAGGAACATGTGACTTTGAGATGCCGCACAAGTACAAAATACTCGAAACAGTAGGAAAAAGTTACGAGGGACAAAAAAAGAAATTATATTCCATTAAATATTTTTTTGAATTAAATTTTATTATTTTATTATCAATTAAAAATTAATTAATAAAAATGGAAAAATCAAGGTGTAACCATTTCACTTATTAATTCTTATATTTTAAGTTTAACTCATACATAGCTAAATACTTTTCTTTTTCAATCTTCATTTTTTGGAACCTCTCCCTTTGTTCCAAAGCGATTTTCTTGAGTTTTAATTTATATAATTTCAACTCCATACTAATTTTGAATTTTTCTTTTTGAAACTCGAGTTTTTTTTCTTCTAGTTCTATTTCTCGTTCCATCTTGTTTGTTTTCCTTTCCGACTTCAATCTGTTAAACATTTTATTTTCTGCTTTATAGGATGTTAAGTATCTTTTATATGACTTCGGTGCTGATTTCTGCATTACCGGAACAAAATTCTTTGTGTTACTTAATATCGGAAAAACTGGGGTAGCAGGAACACTTTCAATTGATTTCGATAATGATTTACTCGAAAGCCTACAATCCGGAGTAGTAGAAGGACTTTCATGTGATTTCAATTGTGATTTCCGCATATCTGGATCAAAATATTTTGTGTTAATTGTAACCGGGAAACATGGGCTATCGGGAGGACTTTCAAATGAATTCGATAGTGATTTATGCATTTCTTCAATAAAATCTTTTGTGTCACTTGAAACTGTGAAATTCGCGGTGGAAGCGTCACTTGAAGCCCTGCCTTTTGCGGTAGTGGGAGGACTTTCATTTGATTTCAAAAGTGTTTTCTGCACTCCTGGAACAAAATCGTTTGCAATCTTTGAAACTGTGAAGCCAGGGGTAGCCGGAGGACTTTCAAATGATGATGAGAGTGATTTATGCATTTCTAGGACAAAATCTTTTACGCTACTTGAAACATTAAAACCTGGAGTAGCAGGATTTTCATACGATTTCGAAGCTACTTTCAGTATATCTGAAACAGAATCTTTTGCAGCACTTGGAACCTTCCCACTTGGCGTAATGGGACGATTCTCGTACATTAGTTTATGCATTTCTGGAACAAAATCTTTTGTCTCGTTCCAAGCCTTGCAATCTGGGGTAGCAGGAGGGCTTTCATACGTTGTCTTCGTTGGATTTTGTGTTTCTGAAATGAAATCTTTAGTGCCATTTGAAATCATGCAACCTGGGCTAGCGGGGGGAGTTGAGAATGATGTGGAGTCATCTATAGGATCCGGCTGTGAACTTATCTCATATTTTATATCTACCATGTCATCAATATTGGCGGTTGTCAGATCTTCGTTTGTGTTGAGAGGAAAAATTTGTTTTAATAAGAAATAATGCGGACATATCTTCATAACCCGTGCTATGAATATTTAGATAAATTAACTATGTTTTAGTTATTTCAAACATAGATTTACAGGAACTTACCTTGTACTTTTTCAGTTCCAAATTCAGATTTCAAAATACTAGGTTTAGTAGATTTAATCCATTGATTTGCTCTGATGTAATTGCTTTTAAGATGTCGCATTTTCCAACGTAGTAAGTGCCAACTAGCATCAATTTTTGTTTCTTCTAGACATTTTGTATAATATATTTGAGCTGTTGGGACCTAAACAAATGAAAAAATGTACCTGAATTTAGGAAAAAAATAAAACATTATTTACCTCAAATTTTCCCGCTCTACAAATATAATTCAACAGTTTTTCAATTTCTTTCTTCTGCCACCTTTTATTTGAAGGATTTGTAGTCACTTTTTCTTTTTCTATCGTTTCCATAATTTCTTTTTAAACTCAACTTTTTTCTTTTTAATTTTAATGTTTTTTTTTTGATAGTCAACAAGTACTCAACTGCCGAAGACGAATTAACTGTAATGCAGTGACGTTTGCAAGGTTGCATTTTCTTCACTTACTGTTGTTACGAATTTCACTACGTTTTGGAATTACGATAAGCATATGCCACTTTTTTGACCAATTTATAGCACGTTTATTTAGTGCATCTTGCATGATTAAATTCACTACATTAACTAAATCTGCATTTTTAATCTACAACATTATACCGTGTTAACTCACAGTTCTTCATATAGACACTCATTCACTTATATTAATGAGTTCAATAACTGAACATTCACATTATCATAATTTAATTTATGTAGTTGAATTAGTTTTTAAAAGCTCATGTCAAAAAGTCTATTAAGGTACTTTCGTTTGCTTACATATTAATTGTAAGAGTAAAACAGTGATCATAATAGTAATCATTAAAAAAATTCAACTATTAACTCTTATCATTCGTATTTTAAAATAAAACTCAAAAAATAATAATTAAATTTGCTTTACTATGTATAAGTTACTTTTCATGCTTTTTAACTTAGTTTAGATTAAATTAAATGAAATATATATTTTCAAAAAAAAAATTCTGGAACTGTGGCATATTTGATATATGAGGCAAAATAAAAAAATAAACAAAAAAGTCAAACAAACAATAAATAATAGTTTTTTAAAATGTTTGTTTTTTTATAAATAAGTATTATACATAAACTTTTTTGCATTTTCTACGTGTTCCATGATAAATTAATTAATTTCTGCTTACAATACAAAACCAAATAACAATTAAAATGAAAACAAACAAAAGCTCTCTTAGAACTTTCTGATACAAAAAAAGTTCTTTTACATGCATAAATCACCTTATGCCATAGAAACGACCTGATTTTATTTTGATTAGTATAAATTGATTTAGCTGCAGTGGGACAATATTATCAAAATGCATGTGATTTTTATATTGTAATTGTACAATTCTGAATAAATTAATTACTGGGTTTATACTGTAAAATCATTTAAAATTTTTATTTTATAAATTAAAAATAAATTAAGTACTCCATTCATGTTCATAAAATTGATTTCTTTTGTTAAAAATATTTAAAATATTTATTTCATATATGTCTAAATTACGCTCACATATATTGCTATATTATAATACAATGTAAGCACATAGGTTGAGGTCTTCAGCCCTTCAAATCACCCCTCCAGCCACCTTCAAAATAATTTGAAGGATTACATATAATACGTAATACATATCTGAATCAATTAATTATGTATCAAGACTATAAAAAAATTTTTTCTTTATATATATTATTTCAATTTCTAAGCACAGAGCTCTATAATGTTAGTAACAAAAATAATAGTTGATTTCTTTAGAAGTATTCTACTATATTGTAGACCTAAGCTTAAATGAATGAAAATCATCTTATCGGTACATTTTAATTTATTACTATTATTTATTATAATATTTATTATTTAATTTTATTTAGACTTTAATTCCTTCTCAAAATAAAAAGGAAAATTTTTAAAGTTGATTATTACAACTATAAAGGATGGCATTCAGTAGTTCTATTAGCTTTAGTGGATTTTAGGTATGTGAATTATTATTTTTCACTCTATTTTAAATTAATAACAGTTATAGTTTTTTCTTTATATTCAAATCTAAAAATTTGTGCATTTCCCGGTTTTATTAAAGTAAACTGTCACTAACATTTATTTAAAAAAATGTCACTTTTTCATTATCTCAACTTTATCGTTTGCTTAAAATTTATCTTTTGCATAGTTGTATTTGAAATTTCCCTTAGTTTCAACCTACAAAATTAAGGCCATTTTCTTTTACAAATTTGCACTACTTTCAAAATATTTTTCTGGTTTTATTAAAGTCAACTGTCACTGAAATTTATTTAAAAAAATGTCACTTTTTCGTTATCTTAACTTTATCTTTTTCTTGAAATTTGTCTTACGCATAGTTTTATTTAAAATGTTCCTTAATTTCAGCCTTCGTTTCAACGAAATTAAGGCCATTTTCTTTAACATCGTTCTAAGCTTAAAACTGAATTTTGTATGGAAAAAACAACTTAATTTCGCTGAAACGAAGATGAAATTAAGATTTTTGCGAAATTAAGGTGTGACTGAATATAGTCTAGTGGACTCTTATTTTTATTTTGAGTATATCTGTATTAACACTTTTTATTAGTTTTGAGATAAAATCACAAAACTAGTATAATAAAAATAATAATAATGATAAAAATGTATTAATATATAAATGGAATATAATGAAAATATTATACATACGCCGTGTACGAGCTCGAGTAAATTGATCGTAAATTGAGCGAAATAGTAAACTATGTCGACATAGCAGTGAATATTGGTATTTACAAGAATTTCGAGTAGGATAAATTAGATAAAATTAGGTATTACCATTGTGAAAATTTTATAAGATATTTAATAAATAAAAAAATAAATTTGAAAACTTTTAATCAAAAATAATAATTAAGTACAACAAATAAATAAATAAATACTGCATTAGTCCAGTGCAAAAAATCCCTAGGAAATTTTAATTTACTTTACCTCAATTTACTCGAACTCGCACACGGCCATAGTGTATTCACGAGAAATTATTAGATGTAGCACTTTCTCTCTGTTAAGCAATTATGCTTTTTGCTTATTCAGAGGCAGACATTCGCTTCCACATATATTTGACAATACAGGGTTGTCGTTGTTAATATTTTTGACATTTATCGTTGAACTGACATTTCCTCTCAGTTTTTTTTGATAAGGTGAAAAAAAATCCCTTTTGTTTTTCTATGAATTTTCTATAAATATATATAAATACAAATTGCTTACGAAATTTCACCAAATAAGTTGCAAAGAAAACAGTTCCTTAGACTAAAATATGTATATGTGAGGTGCAAATAAAACAAAGAAAATGGAAAATCTCTCTTTGTCGAATTCGACACACGTAGTGATAACTTCAGCCCAAATGATGTCCACAATGAACACAACGCAGCAGCAACAGATTGTAAGCATGAGCGACATAGCCGAATTGCCGCAAGAAATACAGGAGGAGATTGTGTCAATGCCCAAAGAGATGATATTGATTACGTTAGTGTCACAAGAACAAGCTCTGTACAATCCCAAGCACACGAATTATCGCAACACACAACGGAAAGATCAGAAGTGGCTGGAAATTGCGGAAAGTGTTGGTTGGCCCGGTACTTATAATATAATTTGTTAAACGTTTTATTAGAAGTTAGAATGAATTGAAATTTACTTTTAGAGAGTCAGTGCAAAGCAAAATGGAAAGCAATGCGTGATCAATACTGCCGGGAATTGAAAAGATCCAAATTCAATGTTAAAGCCAATGTCAAATGGAAATATTTTAAGGATTTAGAATTTTTAAGACCATATGCTCTCTCAAGAAAGTAAGTTGAACAATTAAAAAAAAAATAAATTATACCCAAAAAACATTAGAAAAGAAAGTGCAGTAGATTACGTCACTTGTTGCATATAATATAATATTTAGAGTCCATTGTTTTCAATATTTAACTAAATAATTTAATTTCTTGCAGTTATCGTCCACGTTGTGTCAACAACAATAATACCATTAATAGTAATAAAAATAATAATAATACTACTTTAGGAAGTTTGTTTCAAAACAATAGTAACAACATCAATTGCAACAATTTAAATAACGATCGGAATAAGTATACGGAAATTAAAATCGACTTCACAACACCAACAGCGCAACAGCAACAAACTCAACTTAAAACGGAAACGAATCGTCTTATGCCCTTATCTGCTAACGACACTTTAAGCGCTGTTATGCAGCAGCATCAAGACGATGGAAATTGGAATTATTTACCACAAATACGTGGTAGCAATCAGAATCCCTTGGATGCCAATAACTCATTACAACAGGAACAACAATCAATCAGCACAACAGATGATGTCTTCTATAATGCAATTGTGGATTGCGTTGCCGCAGCTGCAGATCAGTTGCCGCAGCAGCAACAGCAGCAGTTAAATCAACAACAGGATGCACAACAACAGCAGGGCACGGAGGAAGAAGATGATGATCCCTTACATACATTTTTAAATATGGAAAGTTATTTTGAGAAGGAATTAATCTTATTGATACAACAAGAAGATATACTCTACAATAGTTTTCATCCGGGTTATCGAAATATCAAGCTGAAAATGGATTCCTGGGATGAAATAGCTAGAAAATTAAAAAAGACCAGTAAGTGTGAATTAATATAATTTAGAAGATCGTGTCAATCTAAATAATTTATTATAGTTAAACAATGTCGCCTGAAATGGAAAGCATTGCGTGATCAATACATACGTGAACATAAACGTTTAAAAAATCGTGAAAATGCTGAGTTGCTGCCACGCTGGAAACACTATGATGCACTCAACTTTTTACAAAAGTTTATAAAGCATAAATCAAAGTGAGCGATTAAATCATGTCAATTACTTCTTTGAAATTAATCAGAGAAGTTATTGTAGTGTTCTATTTATATCTAGAAAGCAAGCATATATGAGTATTACAATATTTCTATAAAATTATAGTAGGAGATAGTAGAAAGGAGTTTGGGTAGGGTTTAAGTGAAGGAACTACTATCGTGCGCAATCATAAATCAAAACGACTCAAGTTAATCTGTTATGACTGATCTTCTATGCAGATAACTACTTCATTATAAGAAGTCATTTTGATAGAATTAAATTGCTATCCAAATCTTGTTTGTTACTCTTGTTTTTTTCTTTTTTGCCATGTTTAAGAGTACATGAAAGAATTACGAACTTCAATAAACATTACAAATAAGATATTAAAGATCTAATGTATTTCATTAGATTATCATGTCAGGAGGCAGCATACTGATCGGCAATTATTTATATTTTTGTTTCTTAAAAAATATTTAATGATATCAAACATTTTCCTTACTAAAAAAAATTATATTTTCATAAAAATAATAACACAACATAGAGGAAGAATTATGCAAATTGATTATTTACCCAGCAATTGTGAGATGCAAAATGTTTGCTTTGGATCTGCCGAAATATTTATGCGGTTTAGGGTATGGATGTTGTAAGCGAAAGCCGGGCCCAGAAGTAGTTTTCTCGATTCCCTTCTGGAAACTTCGATGTCAAAGATGCACTTCGCTAAAAAGTCAAAGATGTCATTTACCAAAAAGCCGATAAAATATTGCGACAGACACGACAGCTTGGAATCTCTTTAAGAACAAAGGCTCGATGTTTGGGCAATACACAAATTAACGCAAACATATTTGATTAACTGAATTATCATCTGTGAAATGCCGATAAAACGCAACGAAACTGAACCTTTTTTTAAGCGAACTATTACAGACGATGAAAAATAGATTAAATATGATAGTATCCAATGCAAGCAATCATAATCCACGAACGACTTAAATTAACAAACGACTTTGCCTGAATTGTCTTTGGCAAAGACGGTTATGTTTTGATGGAATTGGAATATGTCGTTGATGGAATTGGATAGAAAATGTCTATCAAGATCCGTGTCAGCTCACAACTCGACTGCTTAAACGTAACAATCAAGTAAAAGTTAAGTCTTTGATGGAATTGGAAAAAAAATATCTATTAAGAGCTGCTCCAGCTTGATGCAACGGTTAATTTAGTCCCCTTTAGCTCTCAGTTTGACTGCTTAAACGAAACAATCGAGTAAAAATGACTAGAGTTGGTGAAAGAGTTATGTTCCATCATGATAATGTCAGGCCACACGCATCTTTGATGATTCACGACAAATTGTTTGGGAAGTTTTAATGTATCTACCGTATAACTGGATATTGCATTATCTGACTACCGTTTGTTTCGGTCTCTGTAGAATTCCCTATATGGTAAAAATTGTCCGCCGAAAGAGTAGCTACCACTAGTGACTAAAAGCCAATTTTTTCATCGAACTTTTACACTGATGGAATTATGAAACTTACCAATAAATGGCAGGACAATGGACAACATATATTCGATTAAAATTGATTTCTAATAACAATAATTTTTGTTCAAAAATGTGCCAAAAAACCGCGGATATTTCCAATTTATTTATATAGACAAAGTTACTAAAATTAAAGGAAATCTACGGTGTAGCCCCATAAACATTTTTTACTGAAGAGTAATTTTGGTTACCTATATTTAAATTATAAGTGCTTTGTTCTCACTCCTTTTAGTATGGAATATGTTGATTCAGTTGATATCTTCTCTCACCAGAAGTAGGGGCCTATACAGGTCAATTACAAAATTAATTACAAACTAATTCAAAGTTTATATGAATATATTAAATTAAAAAAACAAACCATATAAAGATATTTTAAGGGATCTTTTGAATCCCAAATATACTTTGTATAAGTAACTGAGCCGAAGATTACTTAGTATAGATTGATACATACATGTTGTTTATAAAATATTTTAGCTAAAAAGTTTATTTAGTCTTCTTTTTAGGATTGAATTATTGCCTTTTCTGTTTATATATTATATACATATTTGGAAATGTTGGCTTGCATTACTAGTTAGGATTTTCGATCATTAAATATTTACTGAAAGTAGTTCAGATGAGTTATAATTTTTTATTTTAAAAATATTTGTTTTCAATTCAGAGTTTTAAAGGTTAAAATACTAAATAGTCAAATAGTTTAGTATAGCGTATTATGATTAGAACATATTTTTTTATATTTATCTATCTAAATACTCTTTTAAAATACTTATTGATATAAAATTTAACAAACCTTAATATAAATTTATATTTTGATATTTAATTGTAGTGAATTTGAAACTAAAAATTTGATACAAATACCAAAAGCTGAGTTGGATGATGATATGGATGATAATATGATCGGAGCAAGCTCTCCTTTACGTTCTCCAATCGATGGCAGTGAAATCAAAAACGATTTACAACAAACTCATATACATTTACCGCCATTACCTTCCCTGTCTGGACCACATGCACAAAGTCGACAACATCATCATCAGCAACAAACAACAATATCGAGACAAACAAATTTAAATCATCACCAACAACAACAGGAACATCAACAGTTGCAACAGCAAAGCAGTAGGCATGAGGATAATATATGTGTTGTTAATGGCACTGATAGTGTTGTGAGCGGGTATGATGAAATGGATATTGATAATTATATTATTGGTGATGAAAGTAATGGTCCACATGAAGATGTTGAGGAAGATGAAGACCATAAGTCACAACAACAATTTCCTGACTATACAAACACCTCTAATGAAAATAACGAACTTGATGAGGAAGAAGATTTTAAGGATATAAAAACAAATGCCGCAAATTTAGTTACGATAACGCAACATGCACAACTCTTGCAGCACCAACAACAAAATACTCAACAACAACAACAAGCAAATCAAGATGAACATATATTACCTATTGATGTGACAGATGTTGCTGCACTGGCAACAACAGAAGAATCACTACACACTACTCATCAGGATTTTAACTTGGACACACCGACACATCCACAACCACAATCACTTCTTAATGGTGCAGCAACTAATAGTAATAGCGTTCCTAGTGATATAGTCAATTTGAATCACTTAACCTTAAAAGCAACGAACAATAGTAATGTAAGTGGAACAACATCCTCAACTATTGAAGAAGACGATGAAGTTGGAGTTTTCTTCAAGGCAGTTGCCATGAAAATCCGTAATGCAAAACTATCACCTGTTGCATTTACCGACCTCCAGATCAATATACTACAAGTAATCAACGGCTCACTGCGCAATCATTGAATGTTGTCCATCGGATTTAAATGAAAAAGGTTGAGTTATCTATTTTTTTTAATAATTTTTTTTTTTGTTGTATACTAATATTTTCAAGGATTATGTTGTTTATAGTTAATAGGTGCATTATGAATGAATGAATTCAAGTCGAACTATTAAAATATACTCTATTTTTAAATATTGTTATTTTATTTATAAAAACAAAAATAATTTGCCAAAATAATTTAAATAAATTTTTAATTATATATTTTTAAAATAAATATATATTTATAAGATTAGTTATATTTGTTCATAATGTACCTGTTAGCAACTCCACTGCATTTAAATCCAGTTTTTGAACCTATATAACAGAGAAAGATTTTATTAGTTCTTATTAGTCAACAATTTTAAAATAATTTTGAGAATTATTCAAGAATTTTGTACTTCCACGTAATGTGAACAGTGTACATTAAGTTTGTGACAATTTTGGCAGTTAAAAAAATACTTGTGGAAGTTATCAAGTATATCATATATATAATAATTTATTATATATTATTATTTATTATTATTTATTATTATTTATTATATAAATTTTTATAAAACTTATATAACTATACTAGCTGGATTTGAATTTCTTCACACTTCGTATCTGCTATGATAATACTATTCAAGTTACAGCCTACACTTCCAACAAACACATGTATTGGCAACATAATATAAATATAAACATAAAATTTAGAAGCTTCACATCACTTTTATTATTTTCACTATCAAATTTGTAACAACAACGATGTTATCTTGTGTAATATAGCAGTTTATATATACATATACAAAATTCATTTGTAATGTTGAGCCTTTGCCGAGTTACTGCATCTGGGCACTTTTACTCTTTAATAGCTTGGGGGTTTGTGTATTCCTCATAATCTTCGTGAATATTCAATGACTGATCTAAGATCTGCGTATCGCCCCGTGCGGTTAGTGATTACTGTGAGATTAGATAGTGCTAGCAGGGCACCAGTAGGGCAACCTGTCGATTTTCGCATATAGCTTCAGAGCTCTGTCTCTGTCCCTTTTTGACCGAATCTATTCTAAGGTCTCTCAGCATTTCATTTGTGTGGATGTTCCATGGCACTTTGAAGAGTCTTCGGAAAACCTAACTTTGAGTAACTTGTAGCTTCTAAAAAAAATATTATAAGAAGAAGAGGTGCCAAATCAGGACTGTACGGCGTATGACCCATCAATTCGATTTTTTTAATGTTCAAATAATCGGTTGTTAGACGAGATGCGTGAGCACTCGCATTGTCTTCTTTTTGAGATTTTATCAAATGATTATATATGCTGGTGGAACTAATGCCAAAGGTACCACTTTAACGTCAATTCCACAGTATATCGCATGACGATCTTACATTATCAGTTTTTTCACATTATCAATGTTTTTTTGGCACAACAACTGATTTTGGACGGCCTTCACGAATTTCGTCAGTGTGTGAACTGCGGCCACGATTAAAATCATTGTACCAGCGTTTCGCAGTGGCAAATGATGGAGCTACATTCACTTTTTACTCGTAATCCACTTCAAAAGTTGTAATAAATCATCACACGAAAATTTTCTCGCGTTGATTTAATTTTTTTGCAAACACTCAATTTACAACTCTCTGTTAATTGCGCAAATAACGCTCTTTTGACAAAAAGTCAAACTTTCGTTGGGAAATGTCAGATGACACCTGACAACAATCAGTGTTACCAAGGCTCAAAATATATATAGTCACACTCGTCTGTTTTTTTTTTGCTTTTATTTTTGAGTTGCAATTTTTTTGCTTTTATTTTTGAGTTGCAATTTTTTTGCTAGATCTTTATTTACTCGTCGATTTTATGCGAGGTCGACTTTTTTCTCAGTTTTGTGATAAGCTGTTTATTCTGCGTTATGTCCTTTTTAATATATATTTCTCATATCGTCGATCTTTCGATCATACTACTCATTAAAATGTGCCATGGATTTTCTTGACAGAACAAAAAAACTATCAGCCCTGTTTTTCTTCCAACATACATGTCAAATATTAGAAAATGTCGTCAAAGGCATGATAGAAATTATAAGAAATTCATTGTTAAGATAATACAAGTTTATTGAAAAGCGATAGTTTTGATTTTTTTCCATTAACCATTTCAACGATTTGAATTTAAGATCTAATTCGGTTCTTTTCATTTTTATGTGCTCGCTTCATCTTAGTTTAGCGTCTGAAGTCATACCCAAGTATTTTGCAGTATTCGCGTAAGGGATTTGTGCTTCATCGATGTAAACAGGTATATAACTGACGTTTCGATTTGTAAAATTTACATGCACTGATTTTTCTTTATTCAGATTGATTTTCCATTTCCTTGTCCAAGCAATTATACTATTTTGCAAATTATTAGCTGCTATTACTGCGCTTTATCCAACTGCAAGGACTGCAGTATCATCAGCAAAAGTTGCTGTGAACGTCGTTGCATTCGTTGGCAGGTCGTATGTATAAATGAGATATAAGAGGGGACCCAAAACATTACCTTGTGGGACTCCAGCGTTAATTTTATGCAATTTGCTATAGGCATCACTGTGCTTTACTCGAAAGTAACTATCAGATAGGTAAGAGGAAATTATGTCATAATACTCCGTTGGAAAATATTTTTTACTTTGGTAAGCAATCCGGAGTGCCAGACTTTATCGGAAGCCTGCGAGATATCTAAAAATACGGCTGAGCAGATTTTTTTTTCCTCAAGAGCTTTTTCTATCACGTTGGTAATCCTATGGACTTGATCTATAGTGGAGTGATTGCACCTAAAATCGAACTGATGTAAAAGTATTATGTTTTGACTTTCAATCAGAGAAAGGATTCTTTTAAGTAAGACTTTTTCAAAATTTTTTGAAAGTACAGGCAGAAGTGATATTGGTCTGTAACCACTGACGTTATTAATATCCATTTCTGGCTTAGGTACCATGATAATTTCGGATACTTTTCACAAGGATGGAAGAGTTCGCATCTGTATTATAGCATTAAATATATTCGTAATTTTGACTATGCATTTTGCAGGAATTTCTTTTAATACTTCAGCACTTATCATTTCATAACCTGGGGTTTTTTTTAGCTTAAGTTTTATTAATCATCTTTACCTCAAGCTCAGTGGTTAGTGGAATACAGGATGAATGTGCTGTCTTAGGAGGGCAGATTACTGCATTGTTAACGTTTCCGTCTATGGAAAACACTTTAGACAGGTGTTCGGAAAAGACTTCTACTTTTTCGTCATCGCTTTTAGCCCATTGTTTAGCTTGTGTTTTAATTGGGGGTTTGTGTACTAAACGTCGCTTAAGGTTTCGTGTACATTTCCAGAGAGAATAGTTGGTTGCACGATCATTACTTAAGTTAGATAGATAGCAGTTGAGTTCTTTTGCAAGTCTGTTAAGAATGGTTTTATCTGCTGGAAATCTGGATTGCTGCCACTTTTCCCGCATCTTTCTTTTTTCTCGCATAAGATCCACAATGGCTTTTGGGTATTTATGAAGATAGGTTGCATTCCTTAATGTGGGCGTGCTGCACCATGTCGCATGTTGTAGTAAATTTGTAAGGTTCAAAATTTCGCTTTCAAGATCGTTTTCTCCACAAATTTCGTTTGGAGCGATGGTAGAGTCCTGAAGAATACTTCAGGATTCTTCTGAAGTTACTCCAATCTGTGTATTTATTTTCAAGATTTAGACATATTTTATTTATTAAGGCAGATTCAAAGAGGGTTATGTAGAGAGGGGAATGGTCGGAACTTAGTTCTGCTCCATCTGTTATTTTTAAATTGTAGGACGAAATTTGCTTGGTTATAAAGAAATCGAGTAGATCAGGCACCTTTGTTGGTTCAGTTGGCCAGTAGGTTGGGTTCCCGGATAACATGCATTCACAGCCAGTTTGCTGTATAGCTTTGAGAAGTTCTCTATCTTTTGTTGTAAATAGGCGAGAGTCCCAATGCGTATGTTTAGCGTTGAAATCACCACCCATAATGAAGCGATGCTTATGTATTTCTATAAGATCTTTGTATTGTTTGGATTTAATTGAATGTCTTGGAGGACTGAATACCGATGTTAGTAGTAATTTGCTTTGTAAGTCAAGGACAATAGTTATTGCCTGAAACTCCTCTTTGGATATTTTTGTAGACTCGTAGTGTTTAAACTATTTTTTAATTAAAATAGCACTTCCTCCGCGAGCGCAATTACTAGGATGGACTGCGCTATATACTTCGCAATTCTTTAGTTTAAGATATGTTTGGTTAGTAAAATGAGTTTCGCTAATTAAGCTAACATCAACATCTTTGACTGATAGGACTGTTTCAAGCTCTCTAAGGTGTTAGAGAAGACCGTTCGAGATCCAAAGCATTATTTTTATATAACTAAGCATTATTTGTTTTATTGAGTTTGTGCTCTAGCCCAGTTAAGCGTTTGTCCAATGCTTTGTAAAAGTTTTCTTGAGTGGTGACTTTTTCTAGTATTTGCGTTAGTATTTTGTAGTTTCCATTTGTAAAAAAAAAAATATATCTTGATATTTGATATATTATAATACTTTTTTTTATATTTTCTCAATGGCATTATTTTTATTAGTATTTTTAAAAAATTATTTAGCAAGCATTTTACATATTACGTGCACTTAATTTCATTGCATGAAATTTTAAATTTTAAATATTCTTTTAAAAATTTAAATTTTTATATTTAATTTTGGTTAATCATTAAATTTAAAAAATAAACTTATAGAAAAAATTTCATCCATTTCGGTGAAAATGAGATCAAAAGCGATCCCGCTTGTAAAAGAATGATCCATATACACAAATGCATAGGAATTGCGAAAAACTTTGTAGTTAAAGAGAGACTACAAGAAGGTAGTCAAATGTATGGGATACCTTGAAAAAAAGTTTTATTTAAACCAAGTTAGTAATAAACAGAGACGTTACCTAGTATGGGTACAAGTAAAATTCAAAAGTTTCTACACTCTACGTTTTTCTTTACTGTATTATAGCTTAAAATCTTCCATTTTGCATCGATATTCCATTCAGGCTGGCATTTCTCTGAATTTTTGTTTTTTTTTCAGAATTTTTCAAAGTACGTGTAAATTTAATTTTTCTGTGATATATTATTTCAATTCTCAGTACAATTGTATCTTATGCAGAATATAACTTGTTTGACGGCATACAATTTTTATTGTTATCAAATAATCATAACTGACACAGCTTGGTAAACTCTTGGTAAACAAATCTATTATAATAAATTTCAAATTTATATACTATATATATATATTTGCTATATATACAAGGTGAGATGAAAAAACTGCAACAAAGTAAAACGCCATAATTTTTTCATTTTTTTTAAATTTTATTGAATGAAAGCAAAAAATGTCGGAAATAACATCAAATTTGAGAATCGGTTTAGATTTGTTCGAATTGGCCACCTTTGGCACGAACTATGGCCTTCAAACGGCCAATGAAACCATCACACGCTGCCCGAAAGTGGCTCTGCGGTATTTTGTCCCATTCTCGGCGAAGCGCTTGCTTGAGATGATCGACACTTTGGTATTTTTTAGTTCCAACCTTGCTTTCCAAAATACCCCAGGCACAATAGTCCAACGGATTGGCATCCGGAGATTTTGGTGGCCATTGTGCGGTGGAAATGAAGCGAGGAACCTCATTTCTTAACCATTCTTGGATGGCGCGTGCTGAGTGCGATAGTGCTGAGTCCTGTTGGAATGTCCAAGGTCTGCGGCCGAAATGTTTGCGTGCCCAGGGCTTCAGAACTCCCTCCAAAATATTTTCGCGATAGATTTGCGCATTGAATTTGACACCACGGTCGATGAATACGAGCGGCGAGCGACCATCGGCTGTTATGGCGGCCCACACCATCACCATGGCCGGCTTTTGAGTTGTGATGGCCAACAGAAGTTGCAAATTTTCAGCTGACCTCTCTGGCAAGTAAACACGATCATTTTGTTTGTTTACAAACTGCTGGATAACGAATGGTTTCTCATCGGAGAAAACCAAATTCGGCAGTTCACCACTTTCGGCCAAGCGAAACAACTCTTTAGCTTTTTCGAGTCTAACTTTTTTTTGCGCATCAGTAAGATCTTGCACTTTTTGGAACTTGAATGGCTTTAGTCCAAGCTCATTTTTCAATATTTGCCGAATGGCATATTGCGATATGTTCAGCTCACGAGCCATTTTTCGTCCACTGCGACGCGGATTTCGTTCAATTCGCTTTTTCACTTTTCGAACCATTTCTGCCGATGTTGCTGTTTTTTTTCGTCCACTTCCTTGACGTCGGGCTACGCTACCAGTATCATGGTAACGAGCGATGGTACGAGACACAAAACATTTATTCACTTCTAAATGCTGGAGGGCTCTAACGATAGCCACTTGTGGTTTTCCAGCCAAATGCAAAGCAATCACACTATCACGCTTGAATTCCATCACAAATAACTTTTTTTTTGAAAAATTCCCACCAAAATGCTTTTGTGCGCTTGTAAACAATATAATGAGCTGTCACTAGAATAAATCTGACAGCTGTGGGACGAGCGGTTTAGAAATGACAGCAGTCTGAAGTTGGTTGCAGTTTTTTCATCTCACCTTGTATATATTA